TGCTGATCTTTCCTGGTCGTCTCATATCTTGATGATTTCTAAGGAAATATTCTGTCTTACCTTCTACAACAAGAAGTTAAGACATTCTGGTATAACCTAACCCTTACTCCTACAATTCGTTAACTCCCGTATTCTGCTTATTATTCTCTAGTGTTGCCTCTTAGTTTTTCATGGGCTACTGAAGAAAGACTATACCTTATTGCGCAGGATGTTAAAGGTTGTCAGCAGGGTAAGCTACGTGCCACTTAACCAGCTTGTTAATATTCTGGTTGACAGGCACATGGACTCATGTGAAAAATGGGCTAAATCCATTTTACCTCACTCACAACACCCTCTTCATTCACAACTTGGTGGTGTAATGCCACTAAAACATATCGACTAAAGAAATATAGGATTAGGACAAATGAATACATGTATATTAGGCATCAGCCAGAGTCAAATTATCTCAGGAATCGAGGACGATTTTGAGCTATATAAACAAAGGTTTCAAGTCATTGGTTCTCAACATCTCTAGGGTCACAGACAGACCGTCTACATCTCCCTAATTGGATCAAACCAATAGTCAAATTTAATGGATTAATACCAGCTTTTGGCTTGGCCATAACTGTCTCATTTCCAACCTCATCCCATGTCGGCTAACACTTGTTAACGAGGGAGGCTGTGCATTGCGTCTTAGCCATCTCAGTCGATATGGCTTCAAAACATCATCAACTAACTTCCCTTTGTTACCCAGCATTCTATACATAACCTCAATATTGCTCTCCATATTTTACAAGGTAAAACTTAACAAGAAAGACAGAAGGCAAGAATCTTGCGGTGATTGACAGTTACTATCTCTTGTTTGAATACTTACTGCTGATTTTTAATATGTTTCTTATATGAATTGCATTATAATTCCGCTAAATACAAATTCCTGAATTCCGCCCTCTCTGTGTTTTGGTTGGATTCTTGTAATTCGGTCATTTCGAAATACTAATACTACTATTACAAATAACTGCAACATTTTGGCGTCGCTATGGAACTAAATAACCTTGGAAAGTTTCCTATAAATGGTTCACCGCGGGAAATCGCCGATTATGTTGAATGTTTCGACGCATGGTACATGTCGAAGAATTTTCACGATGACAAGCGTTGCTTGGTTGAAATAAACACCTCTCTCTTGCCCTCTTCATCTTCTTCCTCCGTTGGTTGCGGCTGTTGCACTTCAGTGTGACAAATTGGTGTCGGAGGTGTCCCAGTGATTAGGACCCTCCCCGATCATGCACATGGTCCGAGGTTCGATCCCCTGCCGACGCACACCTGATATCTATGGTCGGCCTGCAAAATTTGGGCTACCGATATCCATGCTGAAAATTCCATACTAGTACTAAAAATACAGTGTGGATTCAAGCTGTAAATAAAAAAATCTAAATTTCAGCTCATTTTATTACTGCTATTGGTCTAGATGCATATAGCCTAGTGAAGAATCTGGCGTTTCCAGATCAACCTATTTCTCTGTCATATGTCAAGATTCGTGAACTTCTGATAAATCACTTTCATGTAACTACATTTGAGACCAGAGAGAGGGCTCGATTCAATAAACTGGTTCGTGCTCCCAACCAGAGAATTAGAGACTTTATTCTGCAACTCCAAATACAAGCTTCAAAGTGTAATTTTGGAGATCAGCTGTATACTCAACTACGTGATCGTTTAATTGCTGGAATCAATATTCCCAAATTTGAGAAAGAGTTAATTCAGATTCCTTCTTGTACGTTTCAAACTGCTAAAGATGTATGTATTACATATGAAGATGTCAATAATGAATACTCTGCTCCCACTACGTCAGTATCTGATGTCATGCTGTCCAAAGTCGAAAATACAAGTGTTCATGGAAAGCAATCCAAACTGTCGTCCACAGGTAACAGAATACAGCGAGATATCAAAAACATTAAACCGTGTTTTTCCTGTGGAAAGTTACATCTACGAAGCACTTGACGTTTTCGGGGTGCTAAGTGTCACAAATGTGGTAAAGTTGGACACATCAAGACTGTTTGCAGAAGTTCGAGTACTTACGTTGCTCAACATTCTTATAATTCTCCCAATCTGTCTAGTAAAATGGAGTCAATGTGTCTTTCCACTTTTCAAAATACTCAATCTCATCCAATGAAAGCCTCCACTACAAGTTCAACAACTCAAGCGTCAACTGTTTTCAAAAATGAGGTAGCCGAGTTACAATGCAAACTGTCGAAAACACGAGAAAAACTGAATGAGATGAGAGAGCAACTGACTAAAATGGAGGAATTGCTGCATATGCATAGACTGCGTCTGTTGAATGCAGAGTATACAGGTACCCGTGAAAGTCCTGCAAAACTTTTCAAATCTCGAATTCTCAGAAAGCATCTGATGTCGATGACTTCTAATGTACATTATTACAAAGGGAATGACTATAGACCTTCTGTTGGAATTATACTACAAAAAATGGGAAATCAAGTGGTGAAGATATTAGACATCAAAGATCACTCAGTTCATAACAGACACCTGGACAAAGTGACAATAAATGAAGTAGGTCGTTCCAATTATTATTTTAATGATTCCGTTACTAATCCTGATTTTGTAGATAATTCAGAAATAAGTCCAGATAATACTGATGAAAATGATATCACAGAATCAGTTAGAAGGTCGCAGCTACTTGCAAGCAAACCGAGACATCGTTATAAATACGCAAGGAGATATTCGACGTGTGGCGGATGTGGTGATTGACAATTTCTATCTCTGTATTGTTTGAATACTTACTGCTGATTTTTAATATGTTTCTTATATGAATTGCATTATAATTCCGCTAAATACAAATTCCTGAATTCCGCCCTCTCTGTGTTTTGGTTGGATTCTTGTAATTCGGTCAATTCGAAATACTAATACTACTATTGCAAAGAATTACAACACATCTTCGGTCCACGTCAGTTAGCTTCTTCAAGTCTTCCACTCTCAGTTACCATGTCTCGTGACCACAAGAAAGATCAGAGCTAATTATTGAGTAGTACACACATCCTTGTGCGTCGGTGGCACAGCGGTTAGGACGCTTGCCGACCATGCACATGGTCCGGGGTTCGATTCCCGGCCGACGCACTCCTTTACCTCGCTAAGCCAGAACTACTGCTGGTAAATAGGAAAGGTCGGGCATGAGGCTAGCAACCCCATCCTGTAAAAATAAACACTGCTACAGAAACTTCAAGCCACCAGCTTGAAGCCCTATGTTCCTCTGGGAGCGTAAAGGAAAAATTATTATTTATTACACACATCCTTTGATCGATGAGTGGATATCACATTTATGCCAGAGATGTAATCTTGGGAAATCTACACAAGAATTTTGCATCCATAATGGGATCTCATCAACATCAACAGTCAATGCATTAGAGCTGATGCAAATTCACAGAAAATAGAAACGGTCGACGCATTATACCATTCTACATCCCGTACTTAAACTTCACTTATAGTCGGTGAAGACCAATACTTACAACATTTGACAGTAAAGGATCACTTATTAAGCAAACTAAGCTTTGCGCTCGTGGTGTTCAGAAGACTCTACTTTTTCCCAGCGTAATTACCAAGAAGGACACTAGTGACTTTGTACTCTGAGTTGGGAAGCCTGTACACTGATGACGAGTCGATGACGAAATCGGTGAAGTTATTTGAAATCAATGTCATTAGTACATCTATAATGATATTAACGAAATATGCTGAGAGTGGCCATCGCTCGTGGACTTTACTGGTTGTCATCACTTCGAATGTCACCTCTCCTTAGGATCACATACAGCTGCGTTAGTTCAAGTAGAGTGACGTGATTGCAGCCGAACATCTCCACAGAATCTCCCAGTCAACGGATTCAAACAGCGAGATCAGGTTCCGAAATATGGCAAATGTTGGACGTCCGTAAGTATATCTGTGTCTCAGAATCTGTCAAAGAGTAAAGACGTGATGAATATGCTCTCCTACTGGACTACGGCCTGACTGGTTTTCCCGAGTTCTTTTCTCCCGAGCACTATCAATCTGAGACTGATTACTCAGACCAGAACTTTACACACAATATTTGTCAAGCTTATCCCCCTATTATCATCACCATCATCATCAAAGGAAGACTTTCGTCCCTTCTTATAAACCACAACAACAACTAGTGATTTACAATACTCTGACGGGACTACGTTCGATTCCCAGGTATCACCTCAGTTAACCCAGACAAATGTCCATCACAACCGTCCTTAAACGCATCTGAAGTCATTCCATCAGGTCCTGCTACTCTGTCTCATTTCGTACTGGGAAGAGCTTCTTTAACTTCAGGTGTAGTGTGGTGGACAATGTCTACGTCCTCTTCAGGTGCGTGTCGGATGTTTAACGAATTAACCGTGTCTGTAAATTGAATTCCTCCTCGAAGCGTTCCCTCCAACACTTAAGTTTACTATTCTGAGGAATAATTAAAGCATCACTTTCCATAATATTGTCTCGCTTATCAGTTGTATTTTGTGGGCTGTCTTCTTAATAAGCCTAAATTGTTGTTTGGTTCTATCTATAGGTTGATTTTTTTTGCCCGTCAGCTTCGATTATATAACACAGCTGAAATTATCTAGCATTTTATATCATGCTAAATTTCCACTCGAAATTTTGAATACCTGCTTTGTTTCTATCTGGAGAAATATATTGTATCTTCTTTTCTCATAACTTTTTAAAATTAACTTCATTTCTCTCTTTTATAGGCCAATGCATGGAGTTTGTTGAAGTCAATATTTTCTATTGATTAATTTGACTACGCGCCCCTGTTTACCAATCGCTCATTCTATTTTCTTCCTATTCTGTTTAATAAAATCTACTTCAACCAATAAGGTTTCAGTTTCATTGACCTTGTTGGTGATAATAATAAAATAGGTTTGAGAATTATTTCTGAACATTTGAAATAAATGCATTCAATGTTTTTACTGACAATGAGCTATCCGGCTTTTCGTTAAATGGCATGTTTTTTTCCAAAATAAATGTTGTTTCGTGGTCAACGTCTAGCTGTAATATTCTACATTCTATGGCGTTGTATAGTTGTATGTTCAAGAAGTAAGTAAATCTACTCTTGGTCTTAGTAAATATTTTTTGGCAAAAAATTAGAATTTTTATTCTTGCTGACTCTTTTTTATATGCAAAATAATCAGTATAGATTCTGAAGGGTGCAAACTGATCTAACTTTGGTTTATTACACTGGGAGTATGTGAATAATTGTCTTTCCTGTTTACGATCATCGCTGAACATGAAAAGCATAAGCCATCGGATTCCAGTCAGACTTGTAACTGGTAGCATGGATACAGTAGAACCTGATGATTGGGCACATGTCCACTTATTTCGTCCCGTTAGACTACAATATCATGCAAAATTGAGAGTAAAATGAATACTATTTTGGACGACAGTAACTAGCAGCGGAATCCAGGATGTGCATGTCTTTGTTAGGTGGTTGCATGGAATCTACAGGAAGTTTTGGATCCAGGTTTCGTGCCTCCTGGCAATTGTCAGCTTATTGCCTCCAACCATGTAACAATAATTCAGAGTGCGCCTTAATAACGAGTCACCTAACATGACAGCCATTTTGCAAACTTGACCAATGAAATCCAGTTTGCACCAGATGGAGGACTAAACGTGTGACATCAGTTGCTGGTGTCAAATCAAAGTATTTGAAACTCGTCACCTGAATGTACTTGCATTTCCGATGAATATTTGTGTTCCGGCTGAGACACGAATCCTCCACCCATCGTTTCAAACACTAAAGTATGATCTACTCAGCCAAAACAGCCACTTCTTGTGCAACGGGTATCAGTTATTTGTATTTAGGTTAATATGCATCCGTACTAGAATCTGGCATGTCAACAGATACTGAACGATTAGGTCCAAAAATAATTAGCCAGTGAGAAATGCAAATTAATCTAAAAACAAATAAAATGGATACTATGTGTGTCTCGATGCTAAATCAGAGCATTATAGCTGTTTTAAGTGAGCATGTATGTATAAATGTGGTCGTGCTTCCAAACTCCCTCTTTTCGTGATGACAAACTCAAAACTACCCCAAACAACAAGATCACTACAAACAATTTGTATAAATTTCTCCCCTGCCAACGTATTCTGATGACCTAATATGTGACTGTTTCATTTCCCACCTTGTTTCGTCCACATACTTCAACTGGGACAGTACATCATTTGTCTAAGGTGATAATCCCTAATCACAAAATTAAAAAAATTCATTGCTTCCGCTCCATTTCGTCTGAGAATACAGTAACTATCAGCAGTACTATAGACATTTAAATTAGGATCTAAACAGAATGAAAATAATTACTGTGAGCTACAGATTATTTGGCTGGAATCTCTTTATCTCTGCTTACATTTTTAGTATTAGTCCTGACTGTGAAGTGATTTAACTATGTCAAAATGAAAAAGACAAAATTTAGGCATGTTGCTCTGCTATCCAAACACATGAACGACAGACATATTGGAACGTGGGACACATCCCAATGTATGTGAATAGCTTAGTAATATTCTGAATACCGCTAGACAGAGATTCAGTGCCAATCTTAGGTGCTGCAAATTTCAGTAGCCTTTAATATGATGCATGGAAGAATATTAAGCGTGTAATTCCACATTAGGTAATTTTATTTGATAAAACAAAGTGATACAGCGAGTGACGGTGTTCTTATTTAGACTTCTGTCCAGAACCTATTAATTCACATGCCAAAACATTATCCACTAGGCTACTAAACCATGAGAACTAACTGTGGTACACTTATGAATTCATATTTATGATTACCATTCATTTATGTGGACCGAAATGATCAACCGGAAACTGGAAGTATGAATAAAAAATGTGCTTGCGTTTACAATATTCAGTTCAGTTAACTACCTAATGGAAAATGTGCCTTTTTGTACTATTACTATTATTATTGTCTATTAATATTTAAATTAATAACATGATGTGAATAATAACCACATGGAACAATAAAATGGATATTTTAAGTCTGCGTTTTCAATATACAGGGAATTATTGACTACAGTAAGAACAATACTTAACACCCCTTTTAGCTGCAATGAAGATTCATAATGATTACGATTTTAGATGGTGTTACATAACTTGTGACTTTAAGTATTTTCATTGTGTAGGCAGTTTTTAGGGAGTGGGGTGAGCTATTCAGTCAGACAGTGTGATGACAACTGTCTAATTTGTAACTATTTGTTTTTATCAACAGTTGACATAAAACAAAATATCATTGGAAATCAGGGTGTACAGAACATTTGTTTGCTCTTAATTTGTGAGTAATCAAATGTCAGCATACCTGAATATACACAGGCGGATGATCTCAACTATGTAGTGTGACGGTTATTCTTTGTCATTGTTGTCCATCCATTCTAACTTCGTATAGCTCATGAATAAACAATTAATTTGCAGTTATTTTTATAATTCGCCAGTATGAAACAGGAAATTTCACGTATATTTAGATTTTGAGTTTGCCGGGGATTCTTATAAATTTCTGTTTAAACAAAGGAATAAGAAGATGTAATATATATCAGTAAAAAGTTTGTGCATTGTGGATTAAATCAAATAAAGTATAATTATATTTCAACAGTTTACACACAATGGTAAGTTTTGTTATTGGTAATATTTCGAGCAAAATTACTAATAACAAAACTTATCATTGTGTGTAAACTGTTGAAATATAATTATAAGATGTAATTTGTCTCAATCGATTCAAACAAACTACATTCTCTTATTGCTTTGTCTAGATTCATAAAGGGAACCAACTGTTTCAAGTTAATTTGAATCGTTAGATTTCCATCACGAGTTGCTATCAGTTAGAGAAGCATTGAAAACCAAAAAACACTAGATAATTGTTTCTCCCTAGTTCGGAACTCTTCTTCACTATGTACCTGTGACCACTTAGCAAGTCATTTATGATTTAGTGCTGCCAAAAAGATGTAGTTATTGATGTGAAAGTGTGAGAAATAGAGTGGTGTGACCTCAGTGTTTTGTTTATTCTGAAATGCAACTGTTTTTAGTGGGTCATGGTTTTATTTAGGGTAAGAAAGAGAAGAGAAATACAAGGAAACTGTTATTATTGTTAATACTGTTATTATTATTATTATTAACGTTTGAATTTGAATAAAATAACCATCTTATCAAGGTCATGTGGAAAGCAGTATGGAAAAATCGCTAATTCGTATGATTTTACAACGCTACAAACAAAATGGTGTTGTGGGTCGACCAGTTAACGATAGTCGAGTGAAAGTGGTTGTTCATTATGGTCTACAGTTAATTCAACTACTTGGACTTGATGAGAATAAACAGATTTTACGAACAAATTGTTGGACTATGTATGTAAGTTACGCATTATAAATTAAACAACAAACTGACAATACTTTTTATGCTTTTCCATACTAGTCTGGTGCCACTATCTATTGTAGTCTTTTTCGGAGTAGGTTTTCTAGTCGATTGAGATCCTGATCAAGTAGAATTACTTTATAACTCCCGCTGATTCAGGTTGTTGTTAACTAACGTAACTACGTGTATCATCTCTGGAGACAAAAAGATATCCTGCTGGTTTTCATAGTGTGAGTATACAGCTCAACAGTTCACTCTGTCTTTCGTTACCTCTGTACGAAATGGTAATTAAAAACAAGGGATATAAAAATATAATAAAATTCCCTAATATTACTTGTGTCTTCGGAATATTGCTGGCATGTAGTTTGGGATTCTTCATTATTGAGCTGTCACGATCCCATTAGATATAAAACTCTTGACCTTTATTTGACAAGACGAACCCGTTCATCCTAATGAACACAAAAACATCGCAATCATTCTTCTGAGCTGTAAATTTTCCAACCATGCCCAATATTACTGTTATATTCTACTCACCTTCCCACAAACTGGAAGATATGCAAGTGAAAAGCAACAAGCTTACAGAAGAAGCATCAAAGATAGGACTTTAGGTGAACATAGATAAAATAGAGGTGAAGGAGATTCCTGGCCAACACCAACAGCAACAACAGACAACAATCAGCCAGCATAATTGGGAGGAACCTGAAAGAAACAACCTCCATTACCTACCTACCTACCTGAGAAGCATCGTTTCAACTACAGGTGGACGGAACTGACGAGGATATCAAAGCCAGAATTGGAAAAGCAAGACAAGCTTTCATTACTCTCAAGTCTGTGTGGAAGTCAACAGCACTCACCATCAAAAATAACATCCGGATTTTCAACTCCAATGTGAAGTGACTCAGTGCTACTTACCATACGGATCAGAGACTTGACCAGCGCGTCATAAAGAGCATCTCAAACAAACTACAGACCTTTATTAACAGTTGTCTTCGCTCAGTACTCAAGATCAGATGGCCAGACAGAAAAGGTCAGCAACAGGGATCTCTGGCAATGAGCGAAGCAACCAGGAACCGATTGTGAAACAAATAGGCAGGAAGAAATGGAGGTGGATAGGCCATACTCTGAGGAAATCATCAAGTGACATCACTAGACAAGCCATTGCTCGAGTGGAACCCGAAAGGGAAGTGGCGGGTTGGTCGTCAGTGCAAGGGTGACATGGAGGAGTTGATGTGAAGAGGAGATGAAAGCATGTGGGCAGACCTGGAGCAGGGTGAAAAAGTTGGTAGAAAACCGAACGCAATGGAGACGCGCAGCTGAAGCCCTATGTTCTTCTAGGAATTAAAGGATACAATAAATAATAATATATCAATTCTACTCACTCTAGATTTCTTCTTAAGATATGTATCTTTCAAAACATTATTGGCTCTTATGCACAAAATTCGCGACGAACTGATAGAAGCTTTTATAACCATTTTCGTCTTTTTTTTAACATATGTCTTTAGCGATGGAGCGATTCCCTCTTAAGATGGAATGCAAGTCGATTTGGAGGTATTACGGAGTTGAGGATATTTCCTCATCAGATATGGACACCTGATATCAAACTCTATAATTTGTAAGTTTTAGTGAAGCTTTTAAATGGTATAAATGTATGATTCTTATAATTTCATTGGAAATGTGATATCATTTCTTTGGGTAAATGCACTCTTAATTTATTGTTAACTAATAGTGGAGAACATCAAGACTCGCATACGTCGAAGGAATCGACTTTGTTTTATTGTACAAATGCAGCTGCTGTATTAAGTGAACAACTTTGACGTTATTAGATGGATGGAGGAGCATCTCTTTCTTCTTGAAGATTCCTCAACAAGATCCAGCCGTATCCCGTTTGGCAATGGCGTTCCCATTGGAACTAGAATCAAACACCCAAGTTTTCAGATACTAGGTTACTCAGACACAAAAATCACGTCTTGTACTATGGATATCAACTGTTACTTATTCAAACTTTTGAGTTCACAGTTGCTTGTCTTTATAGGATCTAAATGATCTACTTCTGCTAGCATATGGCCCCCTAGAGCGCGTACCTTAATGATGCCCTCTATATCAGCTTGGCTAAAAGTAATAAGGGTACTGTTTAAATATCGGAATCCTCTTCATATTCTTCAAATCAAAGAGGTGAAATATCCATCACAGATAAGATATGTGAATATAAGGACGGAAAGCATTAACTGGTTCAACAAGTTATGAATGAATGTCAACGGCCATGCGATGCAAGTTTTCTAAGCAAACGGCAAAATTGGGGCTTGGATCAAATACCATAAAACATATTTATTCATATAGCAATATCAAGCTAATATAATAAATTTTTGTCTAATCTTTTCTGTTCTTTGATTATTTTCAGTAGTTAATGTAGCAGTCATTGGTTTCACTGGAGTGTTTGTCTCCAACAATAATCAGATAGAAAATTACTAAAGATCAAGGACTAGTGATTTCTGGTCCCTAAGTCGTGAGAATGCACTGTTTAGAAGTTCATATCTACAGCCAGGCATGTGTACAATACTTCTTTGGCATTTAAGAGTCTCCCAAAAAATCTGTATCCATGTTATAAACTGAGTTTTCAATGGTTCTCTAACTGATATCAATCTGTGATCAACTCATAAAAACAAATCTAATCTTTACAAACCAGCTATTGGCTTTGACTAGTATAAGACTCTGCATGGTATATTTAATGTTGTTTAGAACTTAATAGTTGGTTCAAATTCGCAATTTGCAAATTAATTCACCATTCGCAATTCAAAAACGACTCAAATGCGTGTGCAATGTTTATATCACTTCCACCTGCCTAGTAAGTACTACTGGGTGGTATGTAACTACTAGCATATGGCAATCAGTAGTATGCAGCATAATGCAATCAGTAGTCGATTACTTTTGGATTTACATTATTTTTTTACATTTATCAATAACTTCGATCTAGTTTTACCATATAGATACTATGAAGTACTCCAAAGTAACAATGATATTAAGATAAATTAATATAAACATGTATACAGAAGCATGTTATAGTTTGCCCGGAGGTGATCAGTTTGAACAAATTATATCTGACCCCTTAAATTTCATTATCAAGCTAGGAAATCTTTTTAAAATCTATTGGGAAAAAAATTCACTTTCTCTGGTGATGAAACATTCACTATAAAAATATTTTTAAAAATTCTTGAAATAACAAATGGTAGCCGTCTTCACTTTGATCTACAGGACTTGGTTACTATTGAGAACGCTATCTTGTAAATACTGTTTGACTTTTGTTAATTTCAGTGCTGATGAACGTTTGCAAGAATTTAGAGAGGGTCGTCTGGTGGTAAACAGCGATGGTAATATACTATGGATTCAACAAGCATTATTTAGGAGTACGTGTCAAGTTGAAATTACTTATTTTCCATTCGACAGTCAAGTGAGTTTACAGTTCCCATCATTTATATATATAAATGTGATTCCATATTATATTAGTTTATTTGATATAACACAAAGTCGTGCAGTGTTAGTAATTGGATGATATTTCGGGCTCAATTTATTTCTCTTAATCATATTAATCAGTCCATACGACTTCCTAAACTGCTTTATATGGCGTCATGAAAGCCTTTTACTTTTGATAATTGTTTGATACTAAGAAGCTTCGTAGGTGAATACTGTTTGTTTTTTGAGGTAATCGTCCACAAGGGGACTTTTTGGAATTTCGAAAGCTTGACCTTGGTGTTAAATCGATTACTGACAGCTGTTGTCTTGATGTAGCTATTAGGTGTGTGTGTTTCAATCACCCAACGAGCTATCCTAGTTGGGTCGAGTTTTCTTGAATCCTATGATTCAGAGCGGTTAGTTTTGTTGCCTTTCTGCTTTGCAAAGGACAATTTAGAACAGACTAACTGCAAAATGTCTACCTCTCCACTTACTATACGACTGTCCTTAGCCGCAGTATTGTCTCCTCTACTGAAAAAACTCTACAAGCCACACGCACTGACAAGAAAACATTTTTCAGCTAATTCAAAAATAGTACTAAACGCCACATCAGACAAATCTCAATACCTAGATACAGTTGTCTCTCGGCTACCGGACTGAACGGGTCTGTAAGAATAGGAAAAGAGAGTAATAATGTAAGGGAAGAACAAAAGATAATTCGGTATAGTAATTATTTTTGGCAGCTCTATGCACACATAGAGGCAAAATACTTCTACCATATATTAGAACCACAATTTGTACATAACTTCGGCATTGTGCTTATTTTTCTTTCTCTACTGTTGTTTCACAAATGTTGTTCATTTATTCTCATCACCATTAAATCCATCCCTCCACTATTCGATATATATATATACCTCGTCTGTATATTACTTATAAATCTTGTCAGTAGCACGCGCCAAAATACTGGCGGATTCTTTTCTACATTTTCACCTAAACGTCAGTTAAATGCAATTCAGATGAATCAGAGGACAAGTATTATCTTAAGCTCTTAAGCTCCCCACAAAATTAAGCTACTCAGATAAATTCCTACTAGGAAATAATTCAAATATCCCATTAGGAAAGCTGAAAAGATCAAGAAGGAATATTGAAAATATCCTAAGTTTTCCATACCAGTGCATGTCTTTTACATTTCTGCTAAGATAATTTATATTTACCTTGCAAGACCTAATCCAAAGGTAAAAAATAAGCAAATGGTGAAAATATCATTTAGTAATAATTTACCATTGAATGTGTTCGGTTGAAAATTTCTGCTCCCTGTGAACTATCTACGTGGAATTGGACCGTGCATTAATTCGTTCGCGTATGTGCCTCCCACTAAATGAACTGAGAAAGTAAGGAGCTGGCAACATGAGGTATTCATTTAAGGAGCAGAAACTTAAGCATTATACTTAGTTAGGAGACCTGGCAACAGGTGCAGTCTGCTTCAAAATTGCTTTTGAAGATTGTTGATAGCTTGCAGCCAAGAATCGATAAGCACCAGTGAATTTCTACATTTTTTCCTAAGTGGCTGGTACAAGTAGACTGATCTCGATGGTCTCCAAATATGACAGGAACACAAGCTGACTAAAACTCCTCTGAATGAAAGCGAATAGTGATGACTAATGAAGGAAAAGAAGTGGAGAACGCTTTAGTAATAAGTCATACTCATCATCCATTTAGGATCCAAGGGAGTGAATCTCTCCGCCACGCAGATTTCCATTTCTTCTTCAGCCATCACGGATGAGAATATAAGTTTTCAGTAGAAGGTTAACACAAACAGTCTCACCATCAAACAAGATCTTTTCAGCCGAGTCTCATTTGTTCAAAGTAGATGGAGTTTCATTATTTGAAAACAAAGCCGTAATTTATATGATGTTTATTTTGGCTTACTAGAAGAAATAAGCTTATATAAAGAACATATATTAAGAATTCAGTTTACAGATTCAATAATGGAGAAGATTTGCGACCCAGGTGGATGATATTGAATTAGTTGTGTTCCCTGAGCTGGGTGATTTAATTGGGAAGCTTTCGTCATCCTTTCGGACGGCATCTTCAGCGCAAGCCTTAATATGAAATGAACTTATTTGAATTCCCCTTGGATGATATAACTGTCTCTCCTGGCAACGATTGTCGTGACTGGTCGCTGATTTACGTCTCTACTGATCATTTTTATGGACTTTGAATTTGAACTTGCTTGTCATATGGTTTACTTTCTATTAGCTGGTAAATCTGATCTATAGTAATGTGTCAATTAATTGCTAATTCACTTGAGTAGCAGGCTTCTAGGAATTCCCTGGCATTTTTAGTGTTTCCTCAATTAAAAATTTCGACATTATCCCAACCAAAATGCTGTCCATAATTATCCACATGCATTGATACGAACGAATATATAGCATGTCTTTTTACAGCCGATTCGTGTTCTTGGATTCGAATTAGAAGGGGACGCCCAGTTTGACTGATATAATGTTTATTGCAGTTCATACAATTTATTTTGTAATTTTATCTTCTTTTTTCTTGGATCTTTTGGTTTGCACAATATCGAATGTAGTGATTAGGCTGGCTTGTGTGCTGTATCTATTTCAAACGGTCTTAATACTCTATCTGCTATTTCCGAGATATTTTTAATATATGATAGGATGAATTTTCTTGTGGTCTTTGATGTTGGCTTGTTGTTGGTGTTATGACTCCAGTTTAAACACTTTTTTATGAAACTGTGAAGATATCTATTCTACTAATCGTCTTCAAAAAGAATGAATTATAGATTCAGCGTTGTATTCTGAGTAAATGATGTTATTAAAAAGAAAATCCTAATGACAACACGATTTATTTCAGTGGCCTTTGAATTGTAAGACCACTGCTCCATTTGCTTATCTTCATGATCTACCCCTAAACAAAGTCTAAACCACCACCTAAACTGCAGATTATTTTGTATGGTTTTTATTTAATTGACTGTTACATAAGGAAGCATTTCGCACCATCGTACCAGTTTAGTTAGACATTTTGTTTTTAATTGATATAAAGGTGAAATAGCCAGAGGAAGCAATTGTTTCATTACCAACCTAAAGAATGTAGATTTAATTATTCATTTATGTAGAAGTGAAAGGTTTGTGAAATATGGTATTTCTATTTACAGGTTTGTATGCTTGAATTTGGCTCTATGGCATATGACAAGACACAGCTAGATCTAGAATGGTGGATACCGAGTGGAAGTGATACTCCCATGCCGTATGTTGACTTCTCAGATTATGTACCAGCAAATGAATGGTTTACAGATGGTGAAACAGAAAGGAATATACGACATGAGGACAGAGTGCTTCAGGTAAGTGAAGGAATAGTACATACTATTCCCTTTGGTTGTATATAAATCACACTGGTTCACAACTATAAAAACCTGATTTATCCACAAATTAGTGTTTCAACGGTCTACCTAACAAATTATGAGTTAGTATTAGCAGGATAAATGAATGACTGTCAGTCTTTGAAATACTGGAAAATAGTACTTAGGGACTCTTTGTGAAGGGATGTAATGAAACAAACTGATTCACTCCTGAAAACATTCAAACATGCTCATTCGGTTATTCAACCTCTCACAACTGTCTATTTCCCTATTTTTTGCCGGGGTAATAAGACGTTTTGATACACTTTTCTGTAAGGTTACACGTTGTTTCAGATCGTCATTTGTTCAAACATAACTAATGAAACAGAATAAAGTGCATAGAAGCCAGTTGCTTTAGACTTTATGTTTCTTGGCATTTATTGGTCAGATGTTTATTCTCTATGAGAACGACCATGAAACTGGTGTTTAAAAACACTTTCAGGGTTCTGCCTCTAAGTTTTCTCTAATTAAAACATGTTTTCAGGTATTGGTTTTGTAGGGATTTTGCTTGATTGAATGGAGGATTTCATCATGAGCTGACATCAGTTAGAGAACCACTGGAAAACCTGGGAGTACTGGAAAGTTGTTTCGTCCTAGTTTGGGACCCTTCATTAGTACGCACCCGCCGGGGTTCGAACCCAGGACTTTCTGCTTACAAGGGGAGCTAGCTCGAAGACCATTCAGCCACTGGGGCCAAATCCAATGGTTCTTGAATTCTAACTTCTGTCAATTCACGATATAGAGCGACCATTTCGCAATGTCTTTTTCGATGAGTTACAGCTTCATCTTCAACCTGCTGTACCCTACTGGTCACGGCTTCCCACTAGAACCCCAGGTTAACTGCCTGTCCATTGCATCGGGTCCCAGTGGCTCAATGGTCTACGAGCTCGCCTTGTAACCAGAAGGTCCTGGGTTCGAACCCCGGCGGGTGCGTACTGTGAAGAGTCCCAAACTAGGACGAAACAACTGTCTAGTACTCCCAGGTTTCCTAGTGGTTCTCTAACTGATGTCAGCTCATGATGAAATCCTCCATTCAATTAAGCAAAATCCCTACAAACCAATACTTGAAAATTAATCTGATGCTCACTGGTAACCGGCCCTATTCAGGCAGTTAACCTGGAGTTCTAGTGGGAAGCCGTGACCGTTAGGGTACAGAAGGTTGAAGTTGAGACAGTAACTCATCGAAGAGAACATTGTGAAATGTTCGCGCTGTGTCGTCAATTAAAACATGTCTTATGGAGAAATAATAGAAGTCAAATCAAATATATAAAATACATCTATACTCTCTTTTTATGGATTCGTGCAAGTTGTATGTGCAATTACACAACCCAAACTCAATTAATACTCAATTTATTTCTACGAGAATACGTGATATAACTACCCTTGTAACGACTTATATATAAGCATGTTTCCATTATCATACAAGACTAATGGTTAAGTAATCATACAACCGAAACCGTTTGTTCAAATCGAAGGTGTATTTGGTTTGTACTCTGAGTGAAATCAGAAAAATAGTGGTTGAGACAGATATCAGCTCAAAGTAAAAAGTGAGAAATTTTTGTAAGGATGTACGTTTTGATCAAATTATGCGTTTTTTTTACAGTTAGACAAAACTTAACAGACAGATTAATGTATGTGTAAAACTTGGGCACTGTGGTAGTAAGTAATTTCATATTAGTTTGTTTATTAGATATATCACACAGTGAAACTGTATTATTTACTGGATGACGTTTCGAACAAAATTTATTGTTCATAATCATTTCAATTGTAATCACTCGACTTTGAGACCTGAGTTTTGTAGTTTTCTTTGTTTTCTCCTATTTGTCGTAGGGGTAGTAGAATTTTCCAGATATCAGGGACAGGTGATGAGTCATTTCTATCACATGTATTTGCAGTTGATTCGATAAATAAAGCTTCTGTTATCAATCTCTCCCTATACCCTATGACCTTAGATTTTAAAACTGTCATCCTATCCCATCCTATTGTATGGTTGTGTGTAACTGCATGTAGTGCTATACCTGAACTATTCTCTAGATTTCTTATCTTATTTGGGTCAGCCAATCTAGATTTAGCTAGGTTTTTATGTTCGGTTAGTCTGACAGCCCCTGTTCTACTAGTCTGACGTATGTATTTGACCTGACAATCATTCCAGAGGGGTATTAGATAAACTAAATTCTTTTGTTTTAAAGGCTCCACAGGATCCTTTAACCGACAAAGTTTGTTTCTAATTGAGTTTGTGGGTTTGAATGCCACTTTTATTCCTGCCTTGTTAAGAATTCTGCGTGAGGCTTCCGAGGTTCCTTCCTTGTATGGAATTACTGTTGATGATTTAGATTCCATATTGTTGGTGTCGTCATTAATATTATTATTATCACTATTATTATCATTATTAGTGTTATTATTATCACTATTGCTACTATCATTATTTATTTTATTTTTAGATTTCCTTACATATTTCCTGACTAATTTATCCGGATAATTATTAAGTTTCAAGGCTTCTTTTATGTGTATCATTTCTTGTCTTAGATTTTCCTTAGTACTAATTAGTTTTGTGCTCTATTACTTGAACATTTCACTAATCCTATTTTTACTGAAATAGGATGGGATGATCTGAAGTCCAAGTATCTGTTTGAATGTGTGGGTTTTCTGTAAACACTAGTGTTTAACTTCCCATCTTCTTTCCTTTTTACGTTGCAATCTAACATAACAATAAATTTTGTTCGAATCGTCATCCAGTAAATAATACTGTTTCACTGTGTGATATATCTAATAAACAAACTAATATGGAATTAACAAACAGAGTTTCTATTAACAGCTATAACTGAACAGCAGAAAAAAAAGCTGTTTACAAGGTATTTACGTGAAATCATGATTTCCGTTGAACTCAATCTCTATACATATATATGCCTGAAAAATTATAATTTTCAAATTTTTTTCGGCAGTACACAACTTGTTTGCTTCACTGGGTCATCTTTTGACTTTATAACTTCAAGGGTGACCTATTCTGTTCACAAGAATTTGATTTTCACTAGATTCAACTTTTTCAGTTAAACTTTATTGAAAAACGTTTAAAGTGAATTATAGATTGAAGCATCAGTCTTGTATTTTTCTTCTAGAGGGGGAAATTAATTAAATATTTTTGATTTCTAATCCTATGTATTTTCATATCTTAAGGCATTATACTAAAAGTTCATGACTAAATGATCGCTTGCCTTTGGTGATTAGATAAATAGAGTTAGTCGTTACCATAAATAACATAAAGGCAGAAATTTACTTTTAATGTATTTTAAATATTAACCACTAGTAGCTTGTTCAGCTGATAGGATGAATGACAATATGTGCAATAGTATGCACACCAAATAAGCTAAATATGTACTAACTAGATAACTGATCACTTACTCTTCTGTCTAACTCACTTTGATTAGTAATGCGAACTGAAGGCTTGCCTGAACAAGCCGTCTGATGAATCACAAGCAGATTTATGTCGACTCCTTTATTCGACAGCCAGACAAACCATTTAGCCGTTAAATTCAGATTGAAAATTATTTGGTTGTTGAGTCATAATGGGGATATTAAACATTTGCTGTAGGACTGCTGTTTTTTGCATCCTGTTATGAACTGATATATCCTTACACTATAAGTGTCATAGTCATTCATCAGCTTGATTTTTGATATATTTTATAAGACATTCGTTTTTATAGTTGTCGATACTATTTTTAACAATCTTCTTTTTTTACAGTTACGATCTGTCAAACGGTATCGAGTTAGAAAACATTCAATTGGATCCAAAAAACATGAAAGATATTATCCTGTTTTGCGTTACTTAATACGTATTTGTCGCAATCCAAGTTTTCATCTGTTTATTCTAATTGTTCCATGTTTATTATTATCCCTGCTAAGCTTAGTTGTATTCTGGTTGCCACCAGATTCAGCAGCTAAAATGATGCTTGGTAAGTGGATATTGATAGATGAATCTTAAGAAACTTGAAAATACATTTTATGATAAATTCAGCTGTTGACTTACTACACATGTGTGTGAATTCGATATGAAGATAAGTTGAAAAAAGTATTAATTTTTCATGGAAAACTTCGTTAAAGTTGATTTAACGATAGGAAAATGTCTCTGAATGGCCACACTCATAGTTATATCTGTAACAACAGAAGACAAGGGCCAGGTAACAGATCGTTTTATTACGGAAATCAACACGTATTTATATAAATTTCACATACATTATTATAGCCTAGTCAAGTAGACAAACGCAGTCTTCTGATTGGTTGTTTTTGAGTTTCTCGGAAAGTGGAGCCATCTATCTGCGAGTCATATCAGCCCACGTTTAAGTTTGCTGCGAATGAATGTTGAAACAGCCTTGTTCATATTTTCTCACGGCCCATATTAGTGACCTAGACATTGACATAGATTAATGTCTACCAATTGGCTAGCAGCCTGCTCTCACCACATATCTTCATGTACTGTCGTATATTTAATAACGCTTTTAATCAGCAAAGTTACTACACACTTTTCACTGGTTGGAAAAAGTTTACGAAGTCTTCAGTTGCAACGTATTTTGAAAACTGTTTGTTCAGCACGTATAAAGTTGCTATAAATGACCAAGTGCCACATTCAATAGCCACTAGTCAATTTTTCAAGGCTGTTTTGATTAAACTATGAGTTATACATCTTTTTTTATTCCTTTACATTCCTAGTGGAACATAGCGCGCTTCAAGCTAGATGTGTCAAGTTTCTGTAGCAGTGGTGATTAGTATTCACAGGATGGGGTTGCTAGCCTCATTCTCAACCTTCCCTCTTCATCAGTCTTACTACTGGCATAGCGAGGTAAAGGAGTTCGTCGCCCGGGGATCGAACAACGGACCGCCTGTGTGGTCGGTGAGCACTCCACCGCTGTGCCACTGACGCAGCATGAGTTATATGACTTGTATAAAACTGCTGGATTATTTCTGTATGGTCATTATCATGGAATGTCGAGAACATTGGACCTTGGGTATGCATTATTGAGGAGTCTTAGACTCGGATGAATCAACCGTTTCATGATCCCCAGCTCATCTTATTTTGGGATGATTACCAACTTGAATCCTATCACTTTCCCACGAACTACTTTATAATCGTTTTTCTAAAGCCTGAGGGAATCATTTAAAAAAAACAAAAAAACATTTTTCTAGAAATGAAATTTCGTTTTGTAGCAGCAGTAGAACACAGTTTCACAAGTATACTATACAATGCACAATGATACAGAATATTTTACTTATGTCAGTTAGACCACACTTTATCACAAACAGTGAGATAACTACCTCTATCTGCTAGCTTCTACAGTTGCGCAATACTTGCTTTAAGTAGTAAAAATACTTTTCATGTCATGGATAAGGCATTCTTTCTGTGCCTATTAGAAGTTTATCGACAGACTAAATTTCATTGATCAATTTGATTTTGAACTGTGTAACTATTACTCTCTCCCATTCTTTTGCGTGATTGTTTGCCAGGAGCTTAATTTTTTCAAAATCACTTTTTTGTCTACAGAGGCTATTCTAAGCTTAGTTAAGCGATTGTACTCTGGTAACTCGAATAAAGTCAGTCAACTAGTATGACTTTCCAGTGATCTAGTGAATTCAATTATTTTCCGAAATTTGGTCAATAGAATTCTCCCTTATATGGTAGTAATGTAAAAAGACTTTACTTTTCATCTTGCTCATACTGTGATAGCTACTTCCATTCCTTCTCCCGCTTCTTTTATAAAAGAATATCAGTTTTTGATAAAATTCTAAAAGGCAGCTATTTGGCGGTAACATTTACCTTATCCGTTTACTTTCCTTAATTAATTACAAAATACTTTCGACTTCTGATGCCATTATTGAGATGTTTAACCAGTTCTAGTCTATTAGCCAAAGGCTGAGTGGTCTACATTTTCGGATAGATATAAATGATTTCCCAATGTCATTTCTTCAACCGACATTCTAGTTGTGTGGGTTTGTTCGCGATTAGCATTTCATTCATTTAGTTCTACTTGAGGTATGTCTACTGGCGTATTGGTTTAAAAGCCGGTTACATCTAGACTAATTCATGTTATCTGAATGTCTTGAATGAAGTTAGATTTAGCATAGTATCAGTTTGCACACGTAGCCAGAAAGAATTAGAGCGGTTTAAAGTGATCTGGATGTCTGAAATGAGGTGAACCAGGTATACTATTTATGAGTTCTATCCCAAACCAGCGAAAATCATTTCCAAGTCGCTAGCAAGATTTGCTGTTTGATGTGAGTGGCGTCCAACTATTCATTATCAGTCAATCTATAGTAAGCGGCGTCGAAACTGTCCCGAAGTTATTAAGGTAACATGCATGCCATTTTTTTTTAAATTTAAGCAGTCTTAAAGAATATGCGTGTGATAATAATATTGATACTTATAATGGCAAAAATATTATTACTAGTAATAGCAATAATTCGACTAATTTATTCCCTAGAACCAATCTACATTGTAGATGGAGGCCTGTCACTGATGTCTTCTGACTCACAAGGTATTTGAAGAGGTTTATAAACTTCATATCTGAATAGTTTTGTTCGCTTATCAAATGTACTTATATTCTACACTCTTATTAAAACCAGTGTGTCTTCTCTTTTTTATTTGATTCATTTTCCTAGGGATAAACATCTTTGTTGCATTCTTTGTGCTACTTTTACTATTAGCACGGTCTATACCAAGTGCGATTAAAAATTTTCCCATAATAGGTAAGACGTTTGTATCAACAAATATGTATTGAAATTAATAAAGTTAAGTTTCTTTGAAAATGTCACTGTGCTCGAGGTAAGTAATCAACAGAACAATCGATTAGGATATCTGAGTTAACTGGAATTCAGTCTGTGACAGCCCTCACAAGAGTTGATGGGGATTACCTGAATTCTTACAGAAATTCCTATGGAAATTGAAGACATAGATAACCAACATTAAATTATACAGATCATTCCTTTTTAACAATCTCTCTCTAAAAAAGTCTTATATCCATAACATAATCACTTTCTTAAAAACGGTGCAATTATTCAGATTTCCACGATTAATGAGTTATCTAAGTTTCTTGTACTTATTCAGTGGAAGTTATTCCTCGAGGTTTAACTTCTTTTCTGTGAATAATAAAACTGTTGTTTGTAGTCAGTATGATTCTAGAATTTGTTTTGGCCTAGTTGAAGTGAAAAGTTAAGGCTTGTTAAAACATACATAACATAACATAAGATAACATAAGATAAGCTTTATTCCAAATCAGTACTTGTGATACAGAATGGAATTCTCAGCATTTTACTACAATATTGCATCCAGTTTTTTACATTAACAATAAACAAAGTTCTACATAGTTTAAAGTTATCTCAACAACATATTAGTATGTCGGTAGCAAAGCCAAAATTAAAGTGTTTGAAGTTGTTTGAAAAGTAGATACTACTAGCATATTTACTGGCGTAAGCGATAGCAAAATGTTCGAGATGTACAGAGTGTGAAAGAACGAACAAGAATGTTTTAAGTAGAGTTTGCAAGGAAGAGAGAAACAAAACAGCACATAACAAAAATAAATAGAGAAGGGAAAAAAATAGGGAGAAAACGTTGTACCTATAAATGATGTGAGTTGGAAAGACGAGATCCAGTTGTTCTACTGACTATTTAATAAGTTAAAGGTTTCCCGCCTGATGCTTTCTTTATCGCACAGAACACGAGCTAGGTAGGGTATGGATGAGTTTTTGTACTTACTAGTGCGGGCATATAGTTTCCTATATAGGCTTCTTGTTTTCCCTGAAGAGATACATGGGGAGAGTTGTGAATGTAGAGGGTGTTGTGAGTCAGATAAAATGGATTTCGCCCATTTTTCACATGAGTCCATATGCCTGTCCACCAGAATATTAACTAGCTGGCTAAGTGGCACGTAGCTTACCCTGCTGACAACCTTTAACATCCTACGTAATAAGGTATAGTCTTTCTTCAATAGCCCAGGAAAGACTAAGGGGGAGCAATAGAGAATAATAGGCAGAATACGGGAGTTAACAAATTGTAGGAGTAAGGGTTGGGTTACACCAGAATGTCTTAACTTCTTGATGTAGAAGGTAAGACGGTATATTTTCTTGGAAATCGTCAAGATATGAGACGACCAGGAAAGATCAGAAGATAGAGTGACGCCTAGGTATTTAATTTCCGACTTGGTTTCTATTTCACTGCCATCTATGTTGCACACCTCGTGAGTGCTAACCAGTTTGTTTAGGTCAGATTTATGCCTAAGGGTGAAATTAACTGTTTGGCATTTGGAGGGGTTTAAGGTTAGACCGTTTTCCTTGGACCATTGGCTAATTTCCGATAAGAAGCCATTTAGTTTAGAGCAGTCACTTTGACATTTGACAGGTAAAGATACAGTTAGGTCATCAGCATATTTGACAAAGTTAATGTCATTTGAAGACGGTAGGTCATGTAGAAAGAAAGAAAAGAGAAGTGGGGAGAGTACAGCACCTTGGGGGACACCAGCTTCTGTGAGCACAGCAGAGGAGGATTGGCCTTTGTATACGGTGTACTGCATTCTGTTTGAAAAGTAGGAATGCAACCAGTTAGTGACCCAGGACTCGGTTTGTGTCATGGAGAGCTTATTTAGCAAGAGACTTCTAGGTACAGAGTCGAAAGCAGAAGTAAAGTCAAGAAACAAAATGTTGATATGAAAACAGAGTACATAAGAACTGTTCTTACTGAATGTGGAAAAAATAAAAAAGGGGAGGGGAAGCACAATTACAACAAATTGATGAAGAATATTTGTAGATCACAATAAAGAGGTTCACATAGTTCTGTTGCCTTCCGATCTTCAGATTTTGTTAACTTTACCATCACTAAATAGTATGAGTTCTGAATAGACTTTAATTACCCCAGTGATTAAATCTTCAACGTAATCTTCTTTGCTATGTGAAAATTACATCAGAATTGCAATTACAGCTCAACAGCTGCTCAGTGATTTAACGTATCTCATTATTCCTATTAATGTATGTAGGTATCTTCTTTTGTCTGAACATGGTTATGGTCACACTGTCAATATTTATGGCAACTTGGGTAGTCAATTTATTCTATAAAGGAAATGAAGGCCGACCAGTTCCTTTCTGGATTCGTCGAGTGAGTTGTTTCTTATTTATTTTTTTATTTTTATTTTTGATTACAGCTTGATTCCACACTGTATTTTTGGTACAAGTATAAATTTTCAGCATGTGATATCGGTGGCCCGAATTTTGCAGGCCGACCATAGATATCAAGTGTGCGTCGGCAGGGGATCGAACCTCGGACTATGCACATGGTCGGCGAGAGTCCTAACTACTCTGAAGTAAATAGTACTCACACACCAATCCAATCTCTTTTTGACCTGACGCAGTTTTATTGAACTAATATTCATCAGTTGGCTTTTATTGAACACTAGTTTACCTGTCGTAAAATCATCACCGAATATCTCTTCGGTGATGCTGACATAAATTATAAAATCACAAGAAATAGGCTTTCTTGAGTTAATTAATATTATATCAATCACAATAGTGAGTGCATTACATAACTAATCGATAGATACGAGTCGACAAACTTGTCTAAACAATCTCATGAGTTACCATCAGGTCAGTTGCCGATATGGATTCCTAAGTCCTAAAAATTCATTAAAACCATAATGATAGACTTCATTTCAAATAATTTATATAAAACTCTCATATTACTTATTAATAGTTAGTAACCCGAAAATCAAATCGAAAAATACTCAAGTGGCAGTTAATATGAAAAATGTAGCCCCATATCCTTGGAAGTTTCCCCCTTCCATTCTACAGAGGATAAAACTTTTCCCCATGCGGTATTGATTAGAAGATATCACAAATTACCCAGTGAGTTGGGCTGTACTGTGCAGTGAGACATATTTGTATTCATTTGAGGCATTCAGTGGGACTTACTGTTTTAAAAATTGCTTTGGTCAGCTTTCCGTGCTCAGTCAATACATAAGAATTAATTCAAGTGACTTTTAGGGTGTGTGGATAAAGTTGAAATAGACGAAAGACAGAAAGGATCATTAGAGTAGGGAACTGAGATTAAGAATCAAAAACTAAGTCCCGCTAGGCCCGGGATGAAGAAAAGGGTTTTACAATGCAGTTCCAAATGCAAGGTTCAGGCTTCTGTTCATGTATGGTTATTGCTTCAGCTCTACACAAGTAATTTAAGCGTAGACATTTGGAGTGGGTGTATTTAACGCTGTGGATGAGTTTAAAAGGTAAACCACTGGGCGCTAAATGACCTTAAAATAGAATATTTTGAATTTGATAACCTCTTCACAGAATACTGTGTTTCTCTGAAAGTAACATGAGGTGACTTAGATCCAGGAACTTGCCATGCATGATGGTTTTTTCTTCAAATAAATACTTTATACGGAATTTTACAAACCTCTTCCACTTACTTGTCAATACCTATTTTCTTGTTCCTTTTTGTTTTTCAGTTCATTATTGACGGAGTGGGCCGTTTACTTGGCATTAGACAAACAATCCCTTTAATTGATAAGTCACAACGCTCGGGTGTTCAGATTCCTTTCTTTTCGACTTCAGTCAATGAAAGTGGAAAGAATAATCAAGTAGAGAAAGTCAACAACTGTTGCAACGATAAAATTAGTACGAATTATCCACACTGCAACTATACAGCTATAACAGAAGATAATCAAAGAGATGGTGTCAGCAAGTACCAGCTTGATGCATCTTTGTTATCTAAAGAAGAATATCTGGGAAATCTGTCAACAGAAATTAATTACAATGAATTGAAGAAAACTTCACATGATATTACAGAGTCCTTACAACAAATGAACATTAAACAAATCAAAGTTGGGCATAAAAATTCACTTGGTGCTGAATGGCGTATACTGGCTTTGATTATTGACCGTTTGTTTTTTATCATTTATTTATTCACTTTAATTACCATAGCTGCACTTGTCTTTCTGAAAACTGATCTACCGGACACCACTTTACAGTTGACCAACCGAAATGTAGTTGATCTTTAGAATCGGTCACTTGTCGACAATTTGTTTGTTTTGATATCACGTTTTCAGTGTTCGATTTAGCTTAGTTTTTATTTTTGCTTGTTTTCGAAAATTCTGACCATCCATTATGCATATACTGTATGTTACTGCCTTTGCTATTACTACTAATTTTACTACTACTTAATGTGTTTTCACAAACAACATTATTATTAACTCGTTTTTATCGTTAATGACATAATGGAATTGAAAAGTTAAAATTAAAAACTAAGTGGGCATGGAAAGAAGTTTATTCTGAATTTCTATGGATGGCAATTTGACCTTCTTTTTATGCTGCTTCTCAAAGAGCTGTAGACCAAAGAAATCTCTTGTGAATTTACTAGTTCTTACTTTACTCTAATTTATCATGTCATTTATTTCGTTTACTTGTATTTTGTGTAGCTTCAGTTTTTGAAGAATATCTTTATCGGAATATTATTTCTGTTCAATATTTTGAAACTTAACACTACTTACTTCCGACGTTTTACTAAACAGCATGAGAAACCTAGTTGATTTTAATCTCTTCACAGGATTATCCGTCTTTTCTCGTTACCCTCTAATAAATGTTTTGATATGGATTTCTCCCATACATAATAGTGTACCAAAGATGTTCACCCGTCGGAAGCCGTGTCTACCATGGTATTTTACCTGCGATAATTACAGCTGCATAAAACATTTTCTATCTCACTTATTATTATTACTGTTACCTAAAAAACCTTTATGAAAGTCACCTGAGTAAACTGTGATCGTTGTAAATAATTGATACATTCAGAATTAAACTGTGTACAAAACATTCGAATACTTTATATGTAGTTAACTGTAGTTCATTCATTTTGAAGTAGAGTCTAACTTTTCAGGGTTGTTTCAGTCAGAAAATAAAGTGAAAATAAATAGTTATAAATAACAATATGAAAAATACAAAGTATGTACCAACATAAATTTGTTCTTGTACGTTTTTTTAAGTTGGAGAGATTATGCAAATTATTATGATCATTAGAAAACATCATCCAAGTATACGTAAACTACAGCTCATTAGTGTGGTGGTTAAAGCAACTGACATATAACTGTCAGCAGATGAGGCAGATACAGACATCTTACAGGCATCTTTTATCAAACAAAAGTCACCCTGGTAACTGGATATCTTTATTCTCTCTTTCACACAATTATGTAGCGTTATGTACTGGTCGAGAATTTAATAGTCCTGACGCAAGAAAGACGGAAATCAGAAGACCACTAGGTTTGCGATGATACTTCTATTTTCCAAACACAAGGAGAATCAATATCACACAAGTGTGAGAGAGCAATTTAGTGTGAATGTCCGAACAAGTGTGTGAGCAAATATTCAAAATGAACAAATCAATAGACAGTCTTAACATGATTGGCTAATTATAATGGAATATCGATCCATATATACATAGCAAAATATATCAGTCTGTCAAACAAAACACACATGTTATATGGATACATGTCACCAAGATCAGACTGTCAAACAAACACACATATTATATGGATATATATCATGTAGTCTTTTGCTTTAACTTCTTTTCTCTTTCATACAGTGTAACTTTACTTGTCTCTTGTTTCCATGATTTGAGGTGGACTCATCACATTGTTACATTTCATCTTACTCGCTTCTTCTCTCTATCAAGTAACCCCTTTGCCGTTGTATGTAAACATTTATTTTTGTTTTACCTTGAACTCTCTGGGAATAAATTATATGAGTGTAGTTTTCTGAGCACTATTTGTTAAGTTTGAAGCCTTTTGTCAACTGATATTATGTGACATTAGCAAGTATGTTAAAATTGTTCAGTAAATAAACTCAATAATTTCTTTAGGCTGTACGTAGCTGATGAGAAACCAAAAAAATAAATGATGGTATCATCTTATTCTGCACAAACTTTCGAAGAATGTATACCTCTTTAGTTCCGTGTCATTGACATTGAAATACCATCTGTGGTAGGATTAACATTGCGAGAACTGTTAGTGGTTGACTGACCTCAAATTAGTTTTAGTCCTGAATCAGTGTAAACTTTAGAGTTAATGGATAATACAGAAGACCAGATGGGTGTTCCACCTAAATTTAGGACATTCTAACAGTGATTAACAATTGTTCCATGTCACATGATTCCTACGATTGTCAGATGTCAATGAGACAAGGCTGCAGCGCATTTACTGGGTCTGCGTACAATGGCCTGTTGTAAAGACGCTTTTTCCAATCAGCGAAGCACTCTGGCAACTTCTGGTCAATAGGAGTACAGGTTTTGGTGGCAAAAAATGGTGCCTCTTATATCTACATAACCTTGAGAAGGGGCCACCTTCTTCGAAATTCGAATAACCTTGAGTGTAGACATTCCCAAGTGATGCTTCAATTGGAATCCGTGGTTGAAATCGCTTAGATGAACTAATAATTCTCTGTGTTTTCATAGTCAGAAGACATTTTATCATTCTAAAGCTACCGAGGTATAGATAATCGATTATTTATTCCTCATTTCATTCATATTTCCTGTCCATTTCTAATTTCCATCATTCGAAAACGAAGTAGTTAGTAAATAGAGCACAAGCGATAAAAACTAGGTCATCAGTTTTATGCTATTCGACTGGGTTTTTTGATAAAATTACTTCTTTTGTTCTTTTTTTATATGCAATCTTTCTTTGACCAACTTCCGTCCTTCTTTTATTTATTTTCCCTCACCGATGAAAACTTATTTGGCTTTTGTACATAAATGTGTGTCATATACATTTCTGTCACTTTCTGTCTTTGGTGTTTGTGTTCGTGTGTGTATGTGTTTTCTCAGCTGAACAGAGCAAAATGAAGGCGAATATATCTGACTAAATATTAAAGAGACAAGGATACAAACTAATCAGTGAGAAGAGAGGAGGAAAGCCTTTACTATTCATGTTGTTCAATAGATAAGAATTACAATAAATTTGAGGATTATTGACTCAGATTTGCTGATTAGATATGCTGACTAGATTCACACACGCACACTGACTTTATATGATGGCATAGTCATTGCTTTAGGCTGTGTAGACTTGGGCTTGAACGCAAAACAAGTACTAGTTATTCTGTAGTTCAATATGATCAACTTACAATTGGTTCATTTATGTAACTGAATATAATACTGACACATTGGATTCTCGAAGTCTGTTTTTGTTGTATTTTCATATTGGTCAATACAATGAATATAAATCTAAAGAGATGACAACTAAAGTTCAGATTAATTCTTCACAATTTTTCTCTGTAACTTTGTAAATATTTGGTGAAGCCATCTGCCTGAACAATTATAATAAGGTTTATTGGGCATGTGTATATGGAGTGAAAAAATGATGGATAACTATGTGTCAGCATATACTGGTTTTATGGTTGATTTTCTTGAAATCAGCAGTCATAATTTTTCTCATAATGAATCATCCCTTTTCTGGTTTGTTAGAGATAATAGACAGCCTCAGCTGGGATGTTTTAGCAAATTATTTGTAATATGGAATACAAGACACTCTTGCTGCACTATTCGCACCAGTATATGTTGCGTCCGAGTATTAGTTACTGCTACTTGTTAGATGTTTACTAAACTACTAGTTTTACAACAACTGATCACTATCTGACTATCATTCATCAGTTCATTTGCATTAGCCATTGAGCGACATCAATGATAGAAAGAACAATATTACTAATTTTCTATCACGAATATGTTGGCAGCATATCATACAATGATTCCCTTTTATATCTTTATGGCAAGTCTGGAACAGACAAAGCTTAACTAAGCAATTGGCGAAACAACAGCCTACTACAGATACGTTGATGACACATTCATTGTATGCAATGATTTGAGTCACGCTTCGTCTCTATTAGACTCTTTCAACAATGTAAACAAAAGCATCACTTTCACGATGGAGCATGAAGGTGATGAAAAATTTCATTTTTTTGGAAGTAAAGTTGGAGAGAAAATACGACGAGACACTCGAAAGATCTGTATATCGTAAAGACACATGGAATGGTCGTTACTTGAATTTCAACAGCTTCTGCCCAATGAGGTACAAACGAACTCTGGTGAAAACGCTTTTCTCTAGAGCGAAGAGAATATGTTCATCTAACAAAGTAGACAGGGAACTATTGATATAAGTATAAAACTTGGTCACTGTGGTAGAGTATAATTCCATTATAGACAGTGAACTAATGCTTCTTGAAAAATGCTTGAAAGAAAATGGTTACCCACAAAGTTTCAATAACAAATATGTGCATCGGTGGCACAGCGGTTAGGACCCTCGCTGACCATGCGCATGGTCCGGGGTTCTATCCTCTGCCGACCCACACCTGATATCTATGGTCGGCCTGCAAAATTCGGGCTACCGATGTCCATGCTGAAAATTTCATACTTGTACCAAATATACAGTGTGGAATCAAGCTGTAATCAAAAATAAAATAAATAAGAATGAACTCAAGAAGCTTGATACGGCTACAGTTAGTAAGAAGCCTATTTTTATCAAACTCGATTACAAGGGTGACGACATTATGAGAATGGTAAATAAAAGATTAAGCGCAGCCATGTCTAGGACGTATCCTGCAGCGTTATTAATCTCTCTATCCCGAACAACCTCTTCACTGGTGCAGTCAAAGATTGACAAGTACCCGTCACATGTTACCTCCAACTATGTATACCAATTCACATGTATCTGCGGGAGCAGTTACATTGGAAGAACAGAGAGGAGGGCGTACGTCAGATTCTGCGAACATGTACCAAGAAGCCTCCGGTCAAAGGGACCGAATTGTTTAAGCTTTTCAATCACCAAACACCTGAGTGACATAGGACACCGAGTAAATGTGCTGGAAACATTCAAAATAATTAACAGACAAAGTAGCTCAAGTTTTCTGAAGCTATAGCAATAAAACGATTGAAGCCTGACTTATGTGTCCAAAAAGAATCTGTTGTTGAACTTAAATTACCGTGGTGACTCATTTCTTAGTAACTCTTTGTTTTCTGATTTTGTTAACTTATCTTTTCACTCCACCTCCCCCCTTTATTTTTCGCTTGACTCTCTTAAAAGATAATTTTTCACGGAAAATACCCATTGAGTCATGAAGAGAATAAAAGACAGATTCAGCGAAGAAAATTCTCTTTATCGACGAAATCATCTTCAGAGGCTGTACAGTCATAATTATACTTAGAAAAATGTATAGTGGTCTATTATTGAGTAATAGGGGGTGATTTTTCTTGGTCTTCTGAGTTCTGCTCACTGTGTTACATCATCAACTTCTCATCTGACCTCATGTGCACCGAAATTTAAAAATTTTGATCTTCTCTTATCTGATTACGTAACTATTACTAATAGTCTTTTGTTACCACCCCAACAACACATCTGTTAATTAATTTTTTTCAAGAAACTTCTCTCTATCAAGACATTTATATATATGTCGTAACACTTTAGACACCCTATAAATCGCAAAGCCTTATTTTACTATGACGCTCCGACAATATGCTTGCTAATGGACAAAGGTTTGTTAAAACTGTACACTTTATTTTAATAAAAAAAATCCAGGTTGCACGCAGCTGATGAGAATCGATGAAATAAAATGGATCCAGATTATTCTGCGCCAATGTTTCTTCTTTCTTTGAGAGCTAATAGTTAGAAATTACGCTAAAAAAGTCACATGATGATACTATGATTGCTCTGGTAGTTGTTATGTTCTACTCACGTGTGACATTTGTTGACCAATAAAATCTCTTATTAGGTATTCCGATATGTTAAAGATATGACTTGATGTCAAGATTTATTTATTCAAAAAGTGATGTCAACAGGAAAAATCGGTGAGAGCTAAGAAACATGACATAACTATTTTGTCATAGTATTGACTTACTGATGTGATTTCTTTTTTGTGGGCCTATATTGCTAACTGGTGAACGTCGTAAATCATGATCGACTAAATCGACCATGACTGAAATGCAATATGCTCGCATTGTAATGCAATAGTCTGCGACTCGGACTATCTCATAACAGTGATGAATGTTTTTGAAAAGCTCAAAACGCGGACGAACAAGCTGTGCCGTACTACTCCCTTTTCATTGGTTCTTAGTAATAATGTCGATGTGTTAAGAAAAACCAGCCTTGAAATCACTAACTGATAGTTTTAGCTGTCCATGATGATGTTGGCTATTTAAGTAAAGTGTTAAAGATCAGGCATTTAACAGAAATCTTTTGAATGAAGCAACTTAGAATCAACTAACTCTGTTGTAGTAAGGAGACTAGGTTAGTGTAAACAATATAGGACCATGAACAAATGGATGTGGACCTAATTCGTTACAGTTCATAAGAAAACACTGATGCAGTCAGTAAACAACAAAAGCGAAACTTAGACGATTAAAGTTTAAATATCAACCTTGATGAAAACAGTGAATTGAAGAAAGCACCATTAGTAAATGTAGCATTAGTGATTTAAAGATGTGAATGGTGGTAAATCTCAGTTATACCTGAATCACAATGATGAACGCTTATAACAATCACCTCTGATCACTTCAACAATGCAAAACAGACCGAACCCCAGTGTAAGCGCAATTTTGCTTGAAATTAAGTCACGCGTAGATAAAGGCTATCCCGGTCCAGAACAAACAAGAAGCCGGTCACTGTTTCTACGGTACTATTAATAAACAAATCAATAATTATATATACAACAAACCTTAACGGTGTCAAGAGTACAAAGCACAACGCTTAACAGAAAGCAAGGTACCGCTATCAGAGCGGAATAACGTTAAAGCCAAAATTGCGAACTAGCCGGAACCAGACACGACCGTTCAGGTAAGCAGTCAGTAGAAGAATGAACCCAAGTAAGGCATGGCATAAAACAGAGAGCGTTTAAGAGAGATAGACCGAGCATAGGCACAAAGATAGAATTTAATTGGCTACTTAACCAGGTAGGAAAATACAGATGAAAATCAATAAATAAGATAAACTCGACAGAATAGTACAAAGTTAGACATGGGTCAGCAAAAATAACAGTTCACAAAATACTCTGATTGGGCCATGAGTTCAACTGTCTGACTAAACGGATCGAGGTAAAAAACACATACACACAGTTCATTAAACAAACAGGGATAGACACGTTAGGCATGGATAATTGGGTTGCAACAACTCTAGGCTGATCCGGGACAGGTTGACTTAATTCAAGGATAGGAATAGAATTGATCTTACACCCAGTATGAAATGCTATCCATTTATTCCACAGGTTGTTATCGTCTGCAAATTATATGGGTCACAAAAGAAAAGAGGAAACACATAGATGAAAAAAAATAGGAACTCGAGATTCAGGACCAAAATTTGTTAACATCACGACTTTCAGAACATTTGCTTTCTTCTCAACTCTTAAACTTTTTATTTTATGACACACAAATAGACGGTGATATGAGTAAGAAATCATTCTGAATTCAGGGTTCCCTGGTTTACAACACCTGCGCTTTCTTCTCTACATTTAGAGTATGTCATTTTTTATTATTTTATGGCTAATACAATTTCAAGCAGTCCACAGCTGATGAATAAATTGGTATCATTTTATACTACGAATATATCCTGTTGTCCCGTGCCGAATAAACCACATTTAAGAAATTTGTTAGCTTACTTTTTGTGCTCCCAAACTGTTTATTTTTTACATATCTCTAATAAATACGATTCTTTTCTCAACTTTCTTCTTCTCATAGTGATGGCGAGTTCAGCAGCTGTAAGTTTCAGCTACTTCCATAGATAAAGACTTATAAATTTTCGAGTATAATCATCATTTATGTGACCTGTAAAAGTTTATACAACTTCTCCCCATTTTTGTAGCTAAGATTAGTTGAGTCATGCATAGATCAACATGTTACTGTCAAATGCCTAGTTCTTTTATTCACTGTATTGTCGAAGTGATACCTTTCTTGTTGTAACATTTATGATAAAAGACTTTCAGCATAGAGATGATTGAAGAATGTATCTGGGATTGTATCCGCATTAGGGAAGCAAATGGAAATGGTGAAGGTGATACTTGTTAGATTAAATTCGTCTTCAAGTAGTGAATAGTTGGTAATACATGTGGCTAATCCTGGGAACGGATAAGCACATCCGTCTTAAGGTGCCTAATGCCATGTGACAATCCAGACAACAAACTCTGAATCAAGTCTAAAATTTCTTTTCTCCTAGGGGAATTCACAACAGGAGGTAAACATTAGCAAAACTTAAGATGTGAAAAGTTACTTGGGACAAGGCGATTTTTCTGTAGTTGTGATAAAAAATTTCCTTTTCATTTCCCAGAAACTCAACTTACTATAGTGCGAAAGGTTTCTTAACACTACCACATTCATTGCTAAAGACATACATACGTATATTTTTTTACTACTGCGCTATGTTTAAGGCTATTTCTTCCAATTTGATGAATTTAGGTTGACACTCATTAGATTTCCCCTGGAGCTTAAATCCATCTAGTTGTTCTGTTTTAATTAATAAAGTTATTTTTATAATAAAAAGCATGCAGGAAACCTAAATCCAGTTGGCTGTAATTAAAGGGTAAATTTTTAGACATAATTGTTAGGCCAATCAGAATTCAAGTTGTCTAATCAATACAGTCTTCATTCTACAAATGTACAAGGCAGAAAATAGAGAGAGGAAGCAGATTGGCTAAGTTATGAAGAAAGTAAGCTAACTGCATTATATTCTTATCATCCATTTCGTTCCTTAGCTGATTTTTTGTAAATATGGTGAATTTCCAGTGGGGAATTCGAAATTACTAATTCAAAGCTCCTAAAGGAGAAAATGGAACTAAAGCACTATTTCGTATTATTGCTTAGCGTTTTAAATGGAGTATTTCATGTCACGGGAGTTGCGCCTAAAGGTCATCCCAAAGGTAAACGTTTCTATATCAATTTTCTTAAAGTTATTTTTTGTAAAACGCATTAATAATATAGTCGCGTATACCACGGAGATATGACTGCATCAGTGTAAGTGAAAGTCACTATGTTACAACTAATGAATAGACTACGGATTTGCAAGTAATCTCCAAACTGTTCCTCGGCTAAATGGAATACCTGTTTATTCAAGCAATACAGCTGAATTCAAAAGGTTTAGACATATATCATTGTGAAGTAAATCAACTTGACTGTCTCATCGGTAGGCATAAAGTATTGTGTTCAAAAGTAGTAACCTACCAGATTACCTTGAAAACCCATTAGTTCGTCCCTGTTTTAGCACATATTCTATTCCCGAGCTACTGTGCGATTTCATGCTCATATTTTTCAGTCAAAGTTTAGGATTTGCTTAGGGTTAAGATAAAAGGCTTATGATAAATGAGTAGTCAGAGGTTCAGTTGGTGGTTGCAGTCAGGATTAAAGTGATCGCTTAGTTTAGGGTTCTGGAATTGCCAACAGATTAAGAGCCGATTTCCTAAAGACCACAATTTACAACAATTTAAAAAGTGTCACATTGGTTAAACTCATTTTTGTTCATTTATTTCTCTTAGGTAAATTTTTTAGTCTATAATGCCTTCTCATCATGTAATTATTCTGTCTGGTTTCTGGTCTGTGTTATATGGCGGGATGTTAGTTTCAGTCACTGTTCTTTACAGTTTCAGTCTCAACCTATAATCACTAGCAAATTTATGTGATGCATGTGCGTTGATTTTAACTCATGAACAATGTGTATCGGTGGCACAGCGGTTAGGACCCTCACTGACCATGCGCATGATTCGGGGTTCTATCCTCTGCCAACGCACACCCGATGTCTATGGTCGGCCTACAAAATTTGGACAACCGATATCACATGCTGGAAATTCCGTACTTGTACCGAAAAATACTGTATGGCATCAGGCTGTAATCAAAATTAAAATCAAATCAAAAAGTCTCTAAGTGATCGAATCGATCAGTATTTTTGTCAACATATTTCATTAGAACATGTCATAAAACTTATCCGTGTCACCAAATAGTTATTTAATATGATAGGTGTTAGGCTAGGTTTTATCACGACTTACCTTATATTCTGAATGCTTTGAAATTTTCTTTAGAGTATCGGTGAGAAAATACCGGAGTGTGGTGAAATCTTTTAATGCCAGTAAAGACAGCAACTCACTGACGTGTATAGCGGGGAATTCAACATAAGTCGAGTGACTTTTGGCTGATGTCAAATACAGGCGAGCATAATTATTATTCCTCAAGTAACAAGGGAGTCTATGAGCAGTTGGATTACCTACACGATGCATAATTACATGTTTAGGTTGTTTAAATACAGATGCACACTAGTAACATTAGAAAGTTGGAAGATGGATAGGTCATTTATGAGATTAGGATTACTGAAGTCGACTCAATGTTCGCAGAATAGATGCTTATAAGAAGCTTGAACAAAGGCAGCTGATTTCTAGCCAGACAATATTGCTACCTCTTTTAATGAAGACTTCTAAACCTAGTTGATATTGAGGTGGTGCACCAGTTAGTTCAGTGATTGACTGTTAGTATAAGAGGTTAGTTGAAATACGTACTGAGAATAAAGTATTCTTTTTAAGGATACAATGATTGTAGTCTTCGTATTTTCTCTCTGTCAGTAAGTGATATTTGAGAAGTTAAGATGTGTAAAATGAAATTGTGAATAACTTTTGAAAACGTAGAAAGAGATTATCATTTGAAATAATGATTTGGAATTTTTACTGAGTCAGTGTTGGAATACATTTAATCTGTGCTTGAAACAAGACAAAGTTGTCCATCATCACTGATGAACTTTCCCATTATGGTTGACTGGACGATGATACAGAACGTGGGGTGGAGAAGAAAGTCATACGTTGGGTGGACAGAAAAGCAATAGATCTGCATATCCCAAACAGTTTGTCTCTCATTTAGCATTAACTGGAAGAAGTACAAGCGAAAACCAACATGTCTGCAGAGAAGGCGAACGCCGAAAAGACAGAGGTGATAAAGAAAAACAATCAAAGAAAACGAATACTAGTCACCAACAATGGGAGAGGTCTGAAGGAAGTCATGTCTTCCCCTGAAAATAGGCAGATATTGTCGTTTCAGCTACACCAAGAAGGCCGAAGTCAGCCAGAATGGGATCGCAAAGCCAAAAGGAGTTCATTACTTTGGAATCGGTGTGGGGATCTACAGGACTTAACACAAACACACACACATCTGGATTTTCAGAGTTATCTCAAGCCAGTGCTTCCATGTGGTTAGGAGACTTGACACGTCACGAGAAGTATTTCCAACAGGCTGCAAACTCATCAACAGCTTCCTTCTCTGCCTCGATACTAAATATCAGATGGTCAGCAATAAAGCATAAGCAACAAGGGACTCTGACTAAGAACCTATTACCGAAAAAATGTTCAGGAGGAGATGAACTGGAAATACGCTGTTGTGATCACTGAGTGGTATCACTCGCCATGCTCTCAAATGGAAACGGAAGGAGAAGCGATGGACTAGGTGTCAGATGGTGACAAGGGGAAGATTATGTGAACAGAAAATGCGAGCAGTCGTAAAGTCATCTAAATGTGATACCAGAGAAGCAATGGGCATGGAGATGTGACACCAATCCCCAATGCTCCACTTGAAACTCAAGGAATCTCAATAATGATAACATCAATAACTGAACATTCCCGAACAAGAAACACAAAAAAAACATGCAATTTTCTTTAAATATTTCGTAGCTTTCCCACTTACTTATCCAGTTACTTGTACTATTGTCTGAATAGAAATATTTTGTTTAATTACAATAAATAAAAATGGCTGAAAACAGTACAAAATCATATTAAAGAATTTATCATGTTTGCCAATGGTGGAGCTTTAAAGTAATCCGATGAATGAATTATTATCATGGAAGCATAACTGAAGTCTCATTACCAAGAAGTTCAGTATTCATGGAAAAAAGGGACATTAACACATTGTCACGTTCTATGCAATGAACTTACTTCCAAAAGAATACTACTTCTTTCTGTTGTTACCAGCTATGATTAGTGGATATTGTTGATTGCGTAAAAAGTTCGGAATGTAAGTGAATGAATTAGGAAACCTTTTTAGTTATGACAGGTTTAAATAGCATATAAGTGGGATTCGACCTAGATTATCTGACGTCTGTTTTGTTTAGAATAATTCAGAAGGTGATAAATCATTGTTGAGGTATATATATATATATATATATATATATATATATATATATATATATATAACCACAACTATCTCCCTAAACGCTTCAATAAGCTGCGCATACTGGCCTTGTCGAAGGTCTTTGGAAATCTATTTGGTTCGAACTTTTGAACAAGTGGTTTATGCGGCAGTTCTGAACAACTTCAAGGCTTTGTCCCTAACTTAATATAACTTGTCTTTGGCGAATAAACTTATATCTAATAGTGGGAACCAACTTGTGCGTTTCCTTTTATTTGAAAATCATCACTTAACGTCATCTCAGTGGTAACATTCAAACCAAGACTTTAATTCAACACATACTGTTTCAATAGAGGAAGCATCATCCACTAGACTACTAAGTACTGAGAACCCCTTTGTGTTCATTCTGGGTTTTTTTCAGGATTTCTTTATGATAATAATAAGTTTCCAGTATTTATTCAACTGTACCGAAATGATCGGTTCTATTTTAACATATTAACTGTTTGAACTGGGTTTTCAACATAGGCTTTTGAATGTAACTCACCTGGAGTTCGTCAGGGTGAATGGATACGCTGACAACAGTGAAGTATCGTTAAGTGCATATCATCAATCCCATTGATCCCCTTGTGTATATTTATACGTTAAGTTTAAAATCATTAAAAGGTCATATTAATCAAACGATTCGCAAGAAACACATATCTTTTACTGCTAACATCTGTCTATCGAAAAATAATCTGAGACTACGAAGATTTTTACATCTGTTTATTTCCCGAATATTAACTACCCTGTCATAATTTCAAGTTTCTGGTATAGGAGTTCAAAATTTTGTTTGTAATCAATCAATTCGGAAACTGAAAGCGTTTATTGCTTCATTTCGAATTTCTTCAGTTAAATTGACATTTTTCAAAATCATTGTTATGGCAAACACACTGAGTTATGTCATTTTCTGGAGGTCATATCCTACACCTCAACGTCTTGGGCACCCTCACCCACCTTCTTGTTCCTCATTCAGCTGTTATACTAAGTTCACACTATGCTTTTATTTATTGTCTGATAATACAAAATGTATTTTAACCCCCAGTCAAGTTATAATCAGCCCACTTTTTTGTGTAACGAAATGCCATTCTGAAATATATGATTTGGTTAAAGGGAATCAAATGTCTATAGGCAAATTTACTCCTATGGCGAAATCTTGGACAAAACTATTAAAATGTAGGGAGACATTATTTCTATGCACTGGAAATGACCATAAACTGAAATCATATGAAAATTTTGGTTAATTAACATTGAGAAGTATTTCATATTCTTATAAGTAATACGGTTGGACACTACATATTAATTACTGCATTTCTAAAACGTTTTAAACAGAGATGAAAACTAAATCTGTGGAAAAAAATCTAATAAGAATGTTGCTCAATCGATATGAACAGTTTGGTGTTATTGGCCGACCAGTAAATGATAGTAAAATCAAAGTGGATGTTCGTTATGGGCTACAGCTTTTTCAGATTTTGGATTTGGATGAGAATAAACAAATTCTACGAACCAACTGCTGGTCAATGTATGTAAGTAACATGTAGTTAAAATTACTTTTTCTAACATGAAGAAAATGTTTAGTTAAAAACAATTCTAAGTAAGAAAGTAACGAAAAGTGATTTCCGAGTAAATGACTGTTTATTTATCCATTTAATTTTATTTAAATAAAAGTAGATTGAGGAATTTTATTTCCGTTTAATTTTTTCATCTTATAACATATACTGTTTTGCTTTAACAGTATCTTATAACCTCTTAACTCAAATAAGACGCCGTGAGTTGAGTTTCTGCTTTTCTTCCCACTATTGATTTTTTTTAAAATTTAAATAAAGCTTGGTCAGAATTATATCTTGCGGATTAGTGTAGGATAATGCAAGCGGCTAGTTGTCTTTTAATGGCCGTCAACTACCTGTTCGTTTCAGAGATCGAGTCGGCTACAGCCACGGTCCCATAAATTAATTATACATTTTTGCGCTCTGATCACAAAAATCATAAGATCAGTGGAGTAAATTCAGTAGTATGATAACATTTTAGGAAGAAAGTTGCATTACTATCTAGACTCATATCTTTTTCACGGACAAACGAAGTTCAAAAGTTTTCACTTTTTGACTCAAAATGATTTGGAGTTACACAGCCTAATTCAAGTGAATATAATGATATCATTTAGGGTATATAAGAAGGTTTTTAACACCTCACACTTGTGGAATTATATCAATAAATGTTCATCAGTCTTTGTTGTTAGACACAAAGGAAGTGTGAAAAACAGGAAAATAAGAGTATATCGATTCTGACATCGAGATCGAAATATCCATGCAATTCTCTTTACTGATGCAGTTCTCTATGAAACGAACAGTTGAGTGTTGAGCTTTCACAATCTTTTTTTAATAAGTTGAACAAACAACAGGTAGTGTTTCAGACGCAATGTACAATAAACCACACAGCATACAATCTTGTGACCACTCCATCAACTGTGCTATCCAATTCCTAGGGAAAATCATAGGTATCCAAATAGATGAACAAGAAATAATGATATCCTTCGACGTCACAGCATTATATACCTCAATCGGACAAAAACTAGCAAAAGAAACTATGGAATAGTTACTTAGCAACGACGAACACCTTCCACAACAATCAAAAATGCAACACACAAGCTGGATGGAATGCATAAACCTATACCTAACAACATACTTCCAATTCAACAGCCAAGTATATGAACAAGTCAGTATATGAACACCCATGGGATCGCCAATATCAGGTTTGATTGCAGAAGCAGTGATGCAAAGGCTCGAAAGCATAATTCTACTAAAGATCAAACCCAAGATTTGGATACGATACGTCGACGACACATTTGTAATAATCAAAAGAAACGAGTTAGATAAAACTCAAACCTAATAAACAACGTCTTCAACGACGTTGAATTTACAAGAAAAGGGGAATCCGAGAACCAAATGCCATTTTTGAACGTCTTAGTCAAGCGAAAAACCACAGGGGAATTAGAAACTCAAGTTTATAGAAAATCAACCCACACAGACCAAATCCTGAATTACAACAGCAACAATCCAATAACACACAAAAGGAATTGCATACAAACACTATTCAAGAGGGCAAGGACTCATTGCAGCACTCCCATCTTAAGGAAAATTGAAGAAAAATATCTCATGGACGTCTTCCAAAAGAGTGGATATCTACGGAATTTCATCAAAAGACATATGCCCTAAGCCAACCTATCAAACCAAAAGCCCCCAAGGAAAGTACAAAGAAAATCGCCTTACCATATATAAAGGATATCTCAGAAATCACTACAAGACTATTCAAACCTTTAAGAATTTACGTCGTACACAAACCAACAAAGTCACTTCACTCAGTTCAATGTCAACCAAAAGAATCAACAGCGAAAGAAGATAAAACCAACATCATCTACAAAATAAATTGTAACAAGTGCGAAAAACACTACATTGACCAAAGTTGACGTCCCCTTCGTCTTCGTATCCACGAACATAAGCTAGCCGTCAAAAGACATGATATCCACTCCCACGCTCATATCACTACATACAGACAACCACGGACATCAATTCGACTGGGACAACGTTCAAATATTAGACAGAGGAAACAACAAGAATGCTAGAGAATTTTTAGAAGCTTGGCATTCCAATGAAACATCAATCAATAGACACATCGAGATAGACAAAATTTATCAACCGATAAGAAAGAAACCTCACACACAAAGGGTCAAAGTTCAAGTCAAAGAAACTATCAGTTCCAATACAAGTAGCCTAGATGGTGTGAAAACACACCAGGGGAGATGATCAATAAACTCGTGGAGAAACCTAAAGGCTCACTTCAAATTGTAGTATGAGCTTAAGATGTCGCCTGGTAGGGCAATGAAAGCTTCGCAAATTAACTATCCGTCTCAGAAAACACAACCACCTCAAAATACCACACAGTATTCCTGGCCCTTTCTAAACTCAGTTCTTCATGAACACATAACCATAGCCAAAGTCCATTGGTTTTAATTTATGTAACTCGACAAAGAAGGCGTTATCATGGAATGTCTAATGGTGTCTACTCTTTTCTAGAATACATGTAGTGGACATAAAAAATTGGTCCTATACAGTAGTCTGTCAACTGTATTCTTTAAACATCAAGTTCTCTGTCTGTATTTACAGTTAAATAATTTTATCTTCTAGACCTGAATAGAAGTGAATACGAGTGTCAGATGCTACATTAATTGAATAAATGAGAGAAAATTCAGTATTCTACCATTTTGTTTTCGTCACCATTTATTTCCATGTTGTAGCTTGAGGGAACTTAAGGTTCTCATAAAATGAATTCTGCTAGGCCAGTTTACCATAGGAAAACAGTTTCACTATGTACGTTCCGAAACTTGTGTAAAAAAATTTGAAGGGGTTTTTGCATAACAGACTCTCCTAAATGTGTTTGCCATGGATAGTATTTTTAGCAAAAGAGATCTTAACACTTTGTGTTGAAACCCATAACAAATACACTCATAATTTAAGAATTTGTGATTATTGTTGAAAATATATTAGTAGTAGTAGTCCTCACCTAAGTTGTATAGTTCTCCTGAATGTTTTAAGAATGCTGTACTGTACATTACATTACTTCAACATTCGCTGTATAAATATAACTGAATGTATCCCTTCATGATATACTAAAGAACAATAATGAATTATCATTTGTTCCTCCCAACATTTCAGTTGTTTCAAGTTGAATTCGAATGCATGCAAATAATTAATTTGTCCTTTCAGTGCACATAGTTTATTTACCCAAGTAACACAGCAGTAATTTCAGGATGAGAACCGAGCAGTGTTCACTTACACTAATTATTTCGTTAGAAACTTATTACCTCAGATGGATGAAGACACTAATGGTTAAGGATTTGTAGCCTTTTCTTAATTTACTATAGTCACAAGAAATAACTGCGACGCTGGAAATCTGGCCGCCACTAGAGACAAATAACAAACAAATAGAAAAAAAAACAAGTGATTTGGCAAAGAGACTCATTTCAACTGGTTTACTATCCAACTGTACAAATATATATATATATATTACTTGTCAGGTTCTTCTATATGCCAAACAAGTCACTTCTATCCATAGTGAGATTTCGTCAGCAAAAAATTTATGAGGACTGATTCAGCTCACCAAATAAGGAATGTGGTGCATAGTTGGTACTTTTATGATATTAAGAGTGAATGGTCTAAGACGCTTAGTGAAATGTCTCCTGGTTAACCTTTTGATCTTCTCTTGTCTCAGCACCTACAGTAACCTTTGTTGAATTATTCTTTTCATCACCACCCCCGTGTTTGTCCATTTTGGTGTTATTTTGTTTCTGCCTCCCTCTATTATTTGTGAGACTGTTGTTAGTTAAGGTGATAAAGTTTCATGCTAAATTTTATGCTGATTCTTTGGTTTGCCAGTCAGTGGATTCTAATCATGTGTCTTGTTAATTATGCTTTGAAAATGAGATCTTAAGAGTTGAGTTCAAGTGAGCAGGGTTAATTTTAGGGATATGGAAACAGGGAGAAAACTGAATACGATAGCTTTAATAGTAATAACAATAATAGAAATAATAACAATAGTAATAGCTGACTTTTATTAGCATAGCGTACTGTGTTATTTTTCGTTTTTACTTAACATACTCTGAAATAGTATAAGCTTATGTGGTTATGACTGGGATGCACTGATGGTGGTTTCAGGTCATCAAAAGAGTCGTATCCATGGTACTGGACTGCATAAATCAATCTTCAAACTTTTTTATAAATTATGCACATTGCTCGTAGATTGTGAAAGCAAAGTATAAGTCTAACGAAATGTCTAGTTGTTCATCTAATTTTTTTTATTTGATAATTTATTTTAGAAATGGACTGATTCTCTGCTTCGATGGAATGAAAGTGATTATGGTAATATTAAAACAGTTCGTATATTTCCTTCGCAAATTTGGACTCCAGATATAAAATTGTATAACTTGTAAGAAGAAGATTCATTTGTTTTTGTCTTTATTCTTTTAGAAAAATGTTTAAATTCATCAGTACGTTTTATTTATGGTGCTTAAATATTGATTGTGTATATGTCGTGTAGGAACATACAGTTTCTATACAACTGTCTGATGTATAAATCTTGTTTTTTTTTACCATACACTTTTAGTGCTTTATGTGTGCACCGAGGTGTTTTCTTTTCAAAATCCAGAGCATTCGATGTCGAAAGTGCTATCATTTTTCTTGAAGTAAGAAGATGTCTTCGTCAAAAAAAGACTCGATTGGTGTGCCTTGCTCTTTGATATTCAGTAGTTAGTTGCGAAGTCTTTAGATGTCTTAATCAGTATTGGCGGATCTCAGCAAACTTAAATGTTTTGATCCATTTCCCGAAATGTCTTCAATCCTATATTTGAAGGTTTCGAGTTCTGTTTCTTATTGAGGTCATATGTATATCACTATACTCGTAAACTTTCCGCACAAGGTTATTCTTAAAAAGTAAAAAAATAACTAGATTCAGAAAACTTGCATGAAATTCACTGGTGGTGATGACTTTCGTAGGATAAATAATTTTAATGAACAAATATATTATCTGTTGTAATTATTTGTAATAGTAGTATTTGTATTTCGCAATGACTGAATTAAAGGAATTCAACCAAAATACAGAGTGGGATGAATTTAGGAATTTGTATTTGGCGGAATTATATATCAATTCATATAAGAAATATATTAACAAACAACAGTAAGTATTTTAACAATATAGAGATAGAAATTGTCAATCACCACATTATCGTTTCATATTTTTTCCTGTTGTTTCTGAACAAAGTGTTGAGAAATTCTATTTTGTAAATAAACAACTAAAGCAGCTCTTCTAAGTAATTCATTAACCCTCCCCCCTCATTCAGAGAAACACTTTTCTTCAGACAGACTCGGTTTATCCTCAGTTGAAGAATCCAGAGACACTTTGTCTTATTCTCAAATACATCGTTTTGAAAGTTACTGTCAGTGATCAAATTTTTCCCAATCATTGTTCATCCTTTGGAGTTATTTGTCTTTGCACGATCTCTCTTCTTATATGATGACCAACTGATAACATTGTAGCTTTGAAGTTTGAAACTGTCAGAATCAATTCCATGTGGAGTCGTTTGTTTTTGCGATTCTGAAAAGTCGTAGATTAAGATATAATAGCTGCGCAGTACTCATTGGTATTCATTCTTTCCTCAGCTACTGTTAGTCCATGCGTACTTCTACGCTTCAATCCATCAAATGCATATAAAAATAGGGCCTAACGTTAGGAATATGTCTCAATAACAAAAATTAACTGCTTTTGGTTGGGAAGGGTTGTTTATTTCAAACTTACAAGTGTCTAACTTGTCGCTTGTCCAAAAATAATCCAAGTCTGTAACAATTTACGGGCGGGTCTCTTATTTCAGACTTTATGGATAAAAATTTTATAAAATAAATTATAAATCTGAAGTAGTTAAGAAGATAACTGTGTAGCATTCATTTCACTTTTTCACCGATATTCACTAAATATTGAGTATTACCGACAATCAGTCGACCATATCAAGTTATTCATTTCGAAACTTTTGAGAGATTACTGAGGCAGTTCTTGTTTTGCAGATGTATTTCAGTGTGATATAATGATGACCAAATACAAATATAAACGTTTGTTCCGTACCCAGTAACTTTACTATTCGAGGTTCTTTCCTCTGACTTTCATAACCATTCGTTAAAAAGAAGACTTTCGAATGTTGTGAGAATTTAGCCTTTCATCTGAAGCTAAGTCTCTAATTGTAAATTTCAGCTCACTTTGTCTACTGCACATTAGACTACCAGGTGGTTGTATATGACTGCGTATAAGATAAGAAGTACTTCATAACCTAGTGCATAATTATATTTAAAGTTCCTGAAGTGAATGCTGTTTATTATTTTTACTTTTGTTTTTAGTTAATCTATAGTTACTACTAAATTTAGAGTAATTTCTCTTCTAGCGCTGATGAACGTTTACGAGAGCATCGAGATGCACGTGTTGTAGTTTCGAGTAATGGGGAAATGTTATGGGTACCGCAAGCATTGTTTAAAAGTACATGTGAAGTTGAAATCACATACTTTCCATTTGACACACAAGTAAGTTAGATTTTAAGAATTATTTATTTAATTCTTTTTTAATGATGCACAATATCCCTGGAGCGTTTTCGAAAACTTTTAACGTTTTGAGTGCAACAGTCATGTTGCTAAGATAGCCTTTGGAGCCTCTTTAGTAAAAATGAGAAGGTTAGTGGAATGGTTTGGTTTCGATTTGGAACTGTGATCAGGTTGTTACTAATTGTATGATAAACAATTACTGATGGTTATCATAGCAATACTAGAGTCATCATGTTTATACATATCAAACAAGCCAACAATGAGGTGTATCTCTTATGACTAAGTGCTTAGTTTTATGGCCCCTTATGTCACAGTCAGCTTGTTTCAACTAGTTTCTAAAGTTATGCACAAACCATTGCTCATAATTATATCAAGTCGCTCACACAACATTTTGCAAAAAGTTGTGTTTTATCAAAATAAAATCTTATCCATAGTGGAGTGATACTCTACCACAGTCCACAAGTTTTATACTTATATCAATGTAGTCTACTGTTATTGCATTTGTTCTGCCCATTAACTTTTGTGCAATCCATAAGATTCTAAAAGAGTTTAACCAAAATATCTATTGTGAAAACTGAGCGATGATTGCTTCTGTTGGGGTAAACCTACAGAAAAAGTAAGAGGAGCTATGGTTTTGTTTAAAAATTCATCTGCACAGTTATTTCACTAGACTTATTTAGCTTAGATAAATTTACGATGTCACGTAGAATGGTGTATTTAATTTATTGATTAGGCACTTGTTTATTTCATAGATCTGCATGCTTGAGTTCGGTTCTTGGACATATGATAGAACGCAAATGGATATTCTTTGGTGGATTCCAGACGCACCACCAATGGTAGAAATGCCATACCTGGACTTTTCTGATTATGTACCAAGTAATGAATGGCGTACAGACGGTGAAAAGGAACGGGATGTGCACCATATTAATCGAACTATACAAATTCGGTCAGTTAAAAAACACCGACGGCGAAGTCAAACTGTTGGAAGCGAAGTGATCACAAGAGAATATCCAGTTCTACGATATTTGATACGTTTAAGACGTAATCCAAGCTTTTATGTATTTATGTTGGTGATTCCTTGTGTTTTGTTATCCTCTTTAACATTGGTCGTGTTTTGGTTACCTCCGGAATCTCCAGCGAAAATGATGCTCGGTGAGTAGGATATTTTGTATAAATTATGATGAACGTCTGCTGTTGGATACCTACTTATAATGTTATAGCCTTTGAAATTTATAAATATGAAAACTAATTAGTGCATAATAGCAGCATAATTTTTGACTTTGTACATAGTCTGCTAACCTTCTGCAAGATAAACGCAGATCATTTATTTAGACAGAAACATAAAATCCACGATTCGGTTTTGCATTACACATTAAACAATATGAGTCAAACAAATGTAAGTGATTCACCGATCAATCACTTTTTTAGTGTTTTATATATTAGACAACCTCTTGCCAAGTTCCGCTTAGATTTCAGATGAAAACTGAACTTTTGTATAACTTACGGAACTGGATACATCACTGCAAATTAGGATTACATTTTTAGGCGTAAACATATCTTATGTTCGTGTATAGAAATATCAACTTTTAACCGTGTATATTTTTTGACCATAACACTCATGTCCAAGGGAAATCATTAAGACTAAGATAATCCTTCCAAAAAAGTACAAGGGCTTACGAAAAGTAGTAACCAGTGTGTATTTCAAATTCAGAAGGCGCTAAAAATATATGAAGCAGTAATTAATTTGTGGATTGCGTGATGCATGGTAAAAGGTTTCACAGAGAAGCTATTTTTCATAGTCTGTCTGTAGTGTCAACAGGTGGTAAATTCTAGCAGAAAGGGGTCACGAACTATCGAGATGTCATACAGAAAAAAGCAGGTGATGTTAGGCTAGACAGAGTTGGTGTAGAGATGGAAAAGTTTATCTATGTGAAAAGTACTTTTTTAGAACATAAGGTTGGCAGGTATTTCCAAATTAAAAACCAAGTCTGCAATAGATCAATTCATCCAAGCCATCTCGGCTACCTTAATTTATCTGAACACTTCAAGTCAGTGGGTCGTCTGCTTTGTTTCTCTGACTTTTATCTCGAAAAAATAAAATATAGGTTTGGTGCTCATACCATTCCTAACTGTTCAAAAAATAGTATAGACTGGCGCAAGTGGTTCCTAGTGCATATAATAGCATACCACATAAGATATTCTTTGAAATGGATCAATACATTTAAAAGCTATATACCTCTCTACCTAACTTAAAAATATATTGCACTGGATTATAGGCCTTAAAATTCCCACTACACAGTTACCTGAACCATACAAAGTTTACAGACTAATTAATCATACAACCAACTGATTCATTAAACCTTTCAGATAGATTAAAGTACAAGGGGGATAACATTCACATATCTAGGATACAATAAAATTTATTTCATGAACGTGAACAGAACATTTTCAAACTTTGACCGTTTCTCACTTGTTCACACTAAACTTAGCTTACAACCATAGGAACATTTAACCTATAACTTCTTCAGTCTCGAAGTCAGTCTGATCCTCCAGTAAGCTTCAATCTCGTTATATCCGCAAAGCGAAAATTCGATTTATTTATATTTCACTGAAGAAAAGAAACAGTGACTCGTTAATGTGATAATGTATAGATACACGCTAAGGGACGACATGAATGCTAGAGTCGCTAACGTTTTATACGTATGTTCAGCACTGTTTGGGGAGATGAAAACTTATTATTACTTTGTTTTCTGACTTTATTAGTCATAAACCAGCTAGTCCTGGTCGATATATTCCGGTTTGGCTTGCTAAAAATTGTTTCTTGATTGAAAAACGAATTTTCAATTCTCCCTACTTAACTATCTGCGAGATTTGCAGAGATTAATTTATGTCTTCATTTTTTTCACAAATTTTTTTTTTCACAAAACTAAAACTAATGAATATTTCTGCATTTCATGTATCGTCTTTGAATATCCACTTCTTTTACAGTTGAAACGGCGGCTTTTACTTTCAAATACTTTTGATTGTTTCTTTCATATTAGGTATGAATATCTTCGTCGCATTTTTCGTCTTACTGCTTCTACTCGCTGAGTCCACGCCGAGCGCGGTGAAAAATTTTCCACTAATTGGTATGTCTTTTTATTTAGTGATACACGTGGTGATTGAAGTTTTACTTTAGTTGGTATTAGCTGATAGTGGAATCCACGATACGTGTTTCGTCCGTTTTTGGCACTCACCCTAACTCAGTGGATATTTGGCGTTTGAAACAATAACCATTAAGTTGTTTCACGGTAACCACCGAAAATCGAACCAGTTATATCAAGTTAAAGTCTCTTAAAGAGAATGAAGTACGCACCCTAGGTGTCACTGCAAGCCACCAACTATAAGTCTCATTACGACGAATATCAGAATGGAATGTTGAGATCGGTCTTGTAAATTACAGGTGAGAAAACCTACAACTTCACTGCATCGTTGCGAAAGCGTTTTAGTCAATTACAGTTTGGAATACTGATGTTATCTGATAGTATGACGAGTGAAAATGTTTCGAGAATCCTAACCCTCAGATTTGAAGCCTTATTCCTTTCTGACTGAATTCACACAACAGAAACTTGCCGGCAGCTTAACACCGTGGTTGTACAGATAGAGGTAAAATACGTCTACCATATATTAGAATCACACTTTGCACATATCTTCGGTATTGTGATACTTTCTTCTTCCGTATTTTGATTCTTTATCCTTCTTTCCTGTCGTTTCACAAGCATCGTTCATTTCTTCGCTGCAACATTAAGTCCATCTTTGCACAATTCGATATTCCTGTACATTAGATGATAAACATATTTATATCTGCGTCTGTATACTACTTATAAATCTTGTAAGTAGCACAGGAACAACAGTAATAATAACTGCACCTAATATAACCAATCACTAATCGAATTCCGGTTATTTTGATATTTCTGTATTTTAGGAGTTTACTTCTGTTTGAATATGATTATGATTACACTTTCTACGTTCTTGGCCACCTTGGTAATTCATCTTTATTTCCGAGGGATCGTAACGGATCAGTGCCGTCTGTTTTGAGAAGAGTAAGTATCCCAGTGAATGAGACAAATGATAAGTGTCATGTCCATTTGTCCTCACTGTTATTAATGAATAACAAAAAAATTAATTGTCTGTCTCAAAGCCATAGCTTAATCACAGAAGGGATTATTATGAGATCTCAAACCGTTAAAATTCAGTCTTTTCATGCAGATTTAATTAATATTTATTTTCAAGTGTTGGTTTGTAGGGATTTGATGGGTTACAGGATTTTCATCATGAGTTGACATCAGTTAGAGAACCACTGGAAGACCAGGGAGTACTGGACACCTGTTTCATCCTAGTTTGGGACTCTTCATCAGTACGAACCCATCGGGGGTTCGAACCCAGGACCTTCTGGTTACAACGCGAACTCGTATACCATTGAGCCACTGGGACCCGATCCAATGGTCTACGAGCTCGCGTTGTAACCAGAAGGTCCTGGGTTCGAACCCCCGATGGGTTCGTACTGATGAAGAGTCCCAAACTAGGATGAAACAGGTGTCCAGTACTCCCTGGTCTTCCAGTGGTTCTCTAACTGATGTCAACTCATGATGAAAATCCTGTAATATTTATTTGGTGGCTAATTGATATGGAAGATTCTGTTGTAACTTCCACATAGTCCTAAAACGTAACTACTGGATGCAGCAAAACAAGAAATTAACATATTTTAATTAAACGAATTTATAAATTGTTATTTCATGTTACTGAACACTTGAAGTAACCCTTTTTGATCAACATGGAAGAAATGCAGGTCCTGCAACTGCTACGAGATTACTCAAATAGCAATCGCAATTGTTTATATATATGTATATATCGGCTCAATGGTTTGTATTTGAAAACGTAATTGCAACAACAGCATTCCTTGTTAGACTTATTAGCCTGGTGTGTACAACTTTCAAGTTGGAGATGATAATTTTTAGTTAGACCCTTAGTGCGAGAATAGTCACCGATTGGACTGAAAGTAAACACAACTGACTAGTCTTGGATTAGAAGAAACAGTCATTGTGAATTCTATCATTAGAAACGAGCGAAAATTGTCAAACTAGTAAACAAAGGATTGCTTTATGATGTGTGTTTCACGAAGACTTCGATCTGCTTGATAGTGCAGATAGAACAAATAACGTATGAAATAAACAAGGACGTCGTATATTCCCGAATGTTTGCATTCACAGATATACTAATAACTTTCTTTAGAGGTGACAGTAGGGTGAGAAAACATGCACAGTTTGTGCTCGAGTGACTCATTATTTACATGCTTCGGAAAAACTACCAAAATTATTGGCTGAGAAATAAGAAGTATGCCGATATCGAATGTCTATAGTAATTGTTAAAAATCCCTGCCGACGAAATCCTACGTTTAAGAAGGGAAGCGATACTTTTGATATGTTTGATATTCAAGTACATCAATAATATACCTTACGTGTTTTTGAGTTAAAAAATATTGTTCTAAATGACTTTTTTCTTCCTTTTAGATTGTCATTGAAGGGATTGGAAGACTGACGTTAGTAAGACAGAGAATTCCGCTGCCCGAGATGAAAAAGCCGATAAGACCAATTGCCACAAAACCGCCTAAGAAGATTCATATTCTTAATAGGTCCCCTAACAAGTACCCAGCAGGTGAGGAAAGTCCTTGCCAAGATGAACGTAGTAAAAATTTTGGGACTGGTTCGTTCCCACCTTGCAACATGGCTGGTAGCCACCATATGTATGGAGAAGATTATTTAGGAAATATGACTGGTAATTGGTTTGGTCCGAATGAACATAAACCTGGTCCACGTTATGGTGGCCCATATGATTCCTATGCAGCAGCTACCCCAATCAAAGGTACTCCTCAAATTTCAGGAAATTTAGGACAAGCTGGCCCGAAACCATTAACAAATGAACCAAATGATGGAACAAATCATGAAGAGTCACCGTCATTTTTGAATTCAACCACTACACTGGAACGTGACGTTAGAGAATTGAAGAAATACGTTAAGATGTTAGTAAACAGACAGAAGGAGACAGCCCGTAAAAGTTTGGTGGCTATGGAATGGCGAACTCTGGCCATAGTATTAGATCGTTTGTTTTTCTTTATTTACATCACCACCATTGTAATTGCAGTAGTTGTTTCAGTACCACGAAGCACCGAACCAGAACTTCCACCTGCGTTCCGAGATGACTGAGTACGAGGGATTAATTCTCAGGATTCATTCACATAGATCATTTCAGGTTTAGATGAAAGTAAACAGTAAATTCAAATAAATATCATTAATTCCATCTATACATTTTCTAAATTGTTTGGTCATCAGAAAACTACTGTTTTTTTCCAAATATAACTTATCACCGAATTTCTTACTCAACTAATAATTACTGGGTTGCATTGGGTGTTGGGAGGGGTCTCACTGTTTGGCATCATTATTCAAACCTAAAAACCGAAACAACATTTTTTTAATAAATGGTCGTCAGCAGGAAAAACAGTGAAAAACAAGGACTTGAATTCGAACAAGATTTCATGACGAATCATTAAAAACCATAATCTGGTATCTTAGCATTTTTCACCTGCAAGTACTCTGGCTATCTACAGGTATTTAGCTCAGAACTGTCGTACTTGCAATCACTGAATTAGAATTATGTTTCACGATTTTCACTAGCCAGCAAGTAATTTATCGCAGTACATAATTATAGTGTCGTATTCTGCTGACGACTGTTCACGTACATACCGTTTGTCATGAAATATCCCGCAATGATAGCCGCAGTTCGTATGAATATCTGTTAGTGTAGTAAATTATAATGGAGTGCTTCAATCAAAGTTTCTCAAGGAAATCCTAGGGTAATAACAAGATATTAAGAAGCATAAGTTATAGGACTATTTAAATCACTTCGGTTAGCCAATAAGTAAACTGTGCAAAAATCCGCAGTGAAAAAGTTGAATATGGAGAAGGTGGTAGGACAAAATTCCATATTAGATAAGTTTATTAGACTAGTCTGTACTGTCATAATACGAAATGAATTTATCTGATATGGGATCCATACTGAGTTAACTTGGAACAGTTTAAACTAGGTTTAATAAACGTGGTGTAATTAGTTACCAGTGGAAGAGAAATCAGCATTGACGTATAATAAAAGAAGATGTAATCAGTTAAATATCAGGAGTAACACCACTAAAGTGGAGAGAAATTCATTACAGCTTCCTTCAGAATTCAGAATTTTACCACTATCTGTTCGATGAAGTGAACTCAGGAAATTCATTTGACTTGGTATTACTGATACCTAAACAAACAAACAAACAAAAACAGGCCGTATGTGACCGGCCTCAAACAGTTGTCCCCTGGGTTTTGCGGCCACGCGACACTTTCTGTTTCAGGTTCTCGAAGAATCAATCAACTTCCACGGTGTAGGCAGCCGGGAAGTAACAACCACTCACACACTTCCAAAATCACACGAAGCCTTCCTGAGCATCATTCTCCTTTACTCACATCACCTTCTTCATCTTGCTTCTCTACTACGGTTAGCACTATTCTGCAGGCTAGTGAATCAACTTCACTTCACTCTGTGTCCACAAACAAAGGTGAGAGCCATAGAAACACCCCAGATAGCCTTTTAAAGCCACGTCGCCAACTTCATATACGAGCTTTTAATGTCAGGACCCTCTGCCAAATGGGACAACAGGCATCACTAGCAAGAACTCTGGAATCTAGAGCCATGGATGCATGTTGTGTTTCAGAGACACACATACAAGACCCGAGTGTGGTCATTCACTTGACCTCACCCAGTCAACAAGATGAATCCGCAAAATTCACTTTAAGGGTGTCAGGAGACTCCTCAGCTATCTCGCGAGGACTCGCAGGTGTAGGGATAGCACTGAGTGTTAGGGCGGAAAAATCACTTCTTGACTGGATCCCAGCAGATAGTCATATGTGTGCGGTCCGTCTGAATGGGTCCGTTAAAAGAAGGGAAGACGGTGCTACCAATTGTTGTCTTTTTGAAGTCTGCTCTTACGCCCCAACAGACTGCAGTTCGGATGAACTAAGAGATGACAGTCGTGTGATTACCTTGATATGATTATGAGCAATAAATTGTGCTCGAAACGTCACCAGTAAACATTACTGTATAACACTGTGAGACTTTATCAAAACAAAAATTTACCCATAATGGAATTATATTCTACCACAGTGCACAAGTTTTATTCTTATATCAATAAAAGATGACTTCTACCTGAAACTGTCTAATTTGCTGCAAAAAGCAAAACGTTCAGATATAGTTGTTTTAGCAGACGACTTCAATGCCGAATTAGGGAAGTTGTGCCTGACTGAGAAGTATATAGGTGGTACGTATGGAGTTCCCTGCCGACGAACCGACAACGGCGATCGTCTTCTACAGTTTTGCTCAGATAATCACCTGTTGCTAGTCAGCACTAACTTTAGACACAAAGAGAGACTGTGTTACATGGCGACCTCCATCACCAAATCAACGCTGGACCCAGATAGCCCACATAGCCATAGGGTATCGTTGGCGAGGGTCAGTAGAAGACTGTCGCTCCTTCTGGAACACGTGCGTAGACTCTGATCACGCTCTGGTTCGCGCACGTTTATGCCTACTAGTAAACGGATATAAGAAATTGACTTCAGCGAAACAGGTACGTCCCCTACTAGATCGAGACAATGAGTCCCCATTCAAGGAACTAATAGCGAAACGAGTTTTTGAGGTCGGAAGCAGAACTTCTCCTGAGGTAGCCTGGCTGGCACAACATACAGTTAGCTGTAGACACAGCTGTAAAAGCTGTTAATAAGCTAAAACCTAAAGTAAGTAAAAGCAATTGGATCTCTACCGCCTCATCCGAACTGTTTGATGCAAGAAGCCCCATTGCTGCAAGCTCCGATTATGATGAGGAGCGAAAGGTACACAAACGGAAACCAACAAAACGTGAACGGTGGTGGGCGACAAAAGCGAAAGAGATGGGAAAGGTATCGGCGATTGCTAACACCAGACAACTATTTAGGCTTATCAGAGAAACAGGTGGCAAAAGGCAAATGATAAGTGAAACAACCTCGGAGAAAAATGGCACCTTAATCAGCTCCCAGGATAGATGACTGGAACGCTGGAAAGGGCATTATGAGGAACAGTTTAATTGGCCCACAGCCACGCTCAACCTTCCGAACATCCAACACCTCCCTGAATGGGATATAAACACAGGTCCTCCATCCCTAACTGAGGTTACTAAAGCTGTCACCAATCTGAAACTAGGCAAAGCAGCGGGACCTGATGGAATCACTCCAGAGGTATTTAAGTACGGTGGAGACAGTTTACTGTCCGGATTAACTGAGGTACTAGGCAGCGTCTGGGAATCAGAAGAAGTCCCGTTGGGTTGGCGTAAGTCACTGATCATCCCGATATACAAGAAGGGAGACAAGTCTTCCTGTGATAATCACAGAGGGATTAGCTTGACTAATATAGTATCTAAAGTCTTAGGCTCAATAATCATGCGTAGACTAAGTGGTGCTCGGAGGACACAAACACGAGAGAGCCAGGCAGGCTTTATACCACGAAGAGGGTGTATTGATCATATCTTCACCCTCCGACAGATTCTAGAACATAGTCATTCCTACCGGTGTCCAACAATCGTTATATTTCTTGACCTAAAGGCGAAATTCGATTCTGTCGACCGAGAGGATCTCTGGAGATGCTTGACTGTAAAGGGAATTCCGAGAAAATACATTGCACTGAGTAAAGCACTCTACTCGTACTCATACAGCCAGGTGAGGGCTTACGGCGAGTTCCCATCTGACTAGTGGTGTCCGTCAACGATGCCCATTATCCCCATTTCTATTCAATTTCATCATAGATGTACTCATGGACTTAACCCTAACTCACTTTAGCGACTCAGGGATTGACTTGCTACCAGGGAACAATCTCCTTGACTTAGAATATGCAGACGATATAGTCCTTCTAGGCGAGGACGCTGACAAAATGCAGAGTCTTCTGAACACCTTGAGTGGCAATCTACGAATGTTTGGCATGCGATTCGCTCCGCCAAATGCAAGATGATGTTACAGGACTGGACTACATCGACGCCTAGTTTAAAAATAGGAAGTGAAGTGGTAGAGAACGTTGACCGCTTCACTTATTTGGGAAGTACCATCAGCCAGTGCCAACGGGTTGATCTCTGACGAAATATCAGCACGAATACAGAGGGCTAGTTTCTCATATGCCAGTTTACGCCACCTGTGGCGTAGACGAGATATCCGACTCATCAGTCTGCTCCGTCCTCCTTTATGGCTGGCTGTGAGACCTGGCCACTGAGAGTGGAAGGCATGAAAAGATTAGCTGTCTTTGATCATAGGTGCCTGCGCTCTATCTCCCATGTGAAGTGGTAAAATAATGTGAGCAATATTGAGATTAGGCGTCGGTCGAGTTCTAGGTAAGGAGGGGAAATCAATCGACGAGGCTATGAAATTACATCGACTGAGGTGGTTAGGACATGTGTTACGTATGCCTAGTCATCGCCTTCCTCGACATAGGGTCAGGCTGGAAAAGAGCTAGTGGCGGTCAAACCAAAACATGGCACCAGTCAATGAAATCCACAACAGTTAGTTTAAATCAGCCACGTAGGAAGGTGTAGACTTCCTGGTTGGGGTCCTCGAGACGGTAAAAACAAGGGCTGGAAATAATTGGTGATATGGCTCAAAATCGTTCTCCATGGCGCCGATGCATCCACTGCTTGTGAATTATGATTTCCAATGAATCTGTTTTGTTCTTCGTTAGTACTATTCTTTTCGCCTTAAATCTCTGTTTACTGTCTCTTTTTTGCGTTTCTTTTGCTTTCTTCTCATGCTTTTTGTGCTACATGGAGTGTGGCAACTTGAACTGCTGCACATATGTGCAAAGTTCTATGTCGAAAACAGACAGACAGATACCTAAACATCCTTTCAAAAGCAAACGTAAAGAAGCATCTGAGAAACAATTAGCTGAAGAAAATATACATCATTTAACTCACAGTTACTGACACGAAATACACCCCGTAGTCCTTCTAGAAGAGTTTTCCTTCAGTGTTCTAATGTTTTCGTGCAGAAAATTTACGTGATACTGATTTAATGAAATTTGTGTATTTCAAATGAGCATGATGACCATTACAAAGACATCAACAATTTTCAAGTGGCTAAATGGTATACCAGCTTACCTTGTAACCCGAAAGTCCTGTTTTCGATCCCTGGTGGGGTTATGGCAACGCATTGATGGCGACTACTAAACAGAGACGAGACAGTTGTTCAGTACCTCCTAGTTTCAAATAGTTCTCCAACTGAAATCAATTCATGATCGAAAGTGAAATTATTCAGATCCCTGAAAACCAACATTTGAAAAAGGATTAGGATAAGCGTTTTCTTAAATAGTTTGAGCTGATTTTCGATCTGGAGAATAATGACGTTCAAGCAACTTAACCGAGCGTATGGCTGCTAGACATTATGTAAAAATGCACATCTAAGTATTAAACAAATGGAAGTCAAGTCAAAAGTAAAAACCAAAGAAAATAATTTGAAGATATCAGCATTATATCTATATATAAATGCTCACAAAAGTCCCTAACTCTATCGAAAAAAGAAAGACTATGTGAAAATTAAGTGGCTGTAGCTTCTAGGTTGTGTGAAACGTGATGACGTAGGACTCTAGAGCTGCAAACCGTTTAGTAAAATTCCGAACTACTCAATAGTAGTATAAAGTATATAGCTACATTCTTATGAAGTAGAATTTTGCATATGTAATTATGTCTACCGTTTATGTACTAATAAAGCTTACCGATATCAATTCGTATCTAATCTGGATGCGCTTTAACCAGAAAGGTTTCCAAGTTGTCAAGATCCCTCTTTCTGTTTCCTTAAATACAAAATCAGATTCCATTAGGCCGCAATAATCACCAATTGTGCTAGGATAACTTTAGAGACTATTAAACACAGTCTGTTTCTTTTATAAAAACTTGGTGTGCACTTGTCTATCTGGTAAATTAATAGAAAAATAAACATTTCCCAGTAAATAAGCTACAGTTATTTAGTTCTGCATAACTTATGAGTTAGTGTTGCACTACTGCTTCACTAAAAGCATTGAACTCATCGAATCAATAGCCATTACTATGGACTTTTCAAGCTTTGGACTTATGCTTACATGACTGCTAAAGTGCACTATCAAAAAAAGTGCAAGAAAATGAAGTTAGCTCAGATGAACCGATACTTATAAACAGATTTTTGATACTGTCTTTCGGAACTACGCAGAAGGGCTTCCAAAATGCACTGATGTCATCTGACAAAGTGGTGTCATTTTTTGTAAGCATGTCATAATTATTCTGTACTGCATTAATCTCAACCATCAGAACTGCGTATAAAGGTTACGTCTACATAGTTGTTACCGTTATAACTAACAGAGTCCAAATATCAGTGGAACGTCATAACAAATCATTGGAAAATATGAGACTTGTGTGTAGTATTCTTCCAAGTTTAAAGTTATTTAGCGATGTGGAATAAGTAGTCGGCGGGATGAAAACTAAAATAGTTATATATATATATATATATAGTCGAATAGCTTTTACGATAAAAACATTTATTCTGACTATACAACACCCCTATGAATTTTGCGCATGTCTGGAAAAATTTACTTGCCCAGTCAAATTTCAAATGATATGATCAATATGACATTCCCAAAAAAGATATTTTAGTGGGAAACGAGAGAATTGTCTCTATTCTTAGATGGTTCGATAGAAACACAAACACCCAATTAGACAAACAGACAGACGGAATGGAAATAGGCAAATTAGATTACCATAATTCCGCGTCTAGTTCTACGCCATTATATAATTCCACCTTAACTGATAACTATAATTCAGAGAAGTACATTTCTTAGAAATGAAGCTGACTTTTTACCGTATTTTAACTATCTATATCACATGTGGATTATTGCAGATCACAGCAGTTGCACCTGTAGGTCATCCAAAAGGTAATACTTTAAATGTTTTTACATTTTTACATTTACATTTCAATAGACATCATTATATATATGCATGCGAAAATACGTCCTTATTTTAAGATTAGCCTGACGAATCAGAGTCGTGTAATGTATCTACGTAACTCACTTCGAACAATTTAATCACAAAAATAATCGTCACAGGAGTAGATATGAAAATAATAAAGCTTTAAGCAGTCAGGGAATCGACATAGATCAAGTTACAGGGCTATATTAGAGGTATAAATAATGATGGAGGTCAATAAACCAGAGACGAGATAATAGTACATCTGCTTTAGTATCAAATCAAACTTAATTAAGGAGTGCCTTCTTATTGTTTTGTCGAAATTCATAAAAAGAACAAGTTGTTTCAAATTCTTAAAGAGAAGACTCCCTCCATACAGTATTAAATAGTTAGATGAACTCGTTAACCCAAGGTATGAATTTATCATCGAACGCCATACATTGGAATTTTATTAGTATATGTATTACAATTCATACTATTCTCAGACACTTGTATAAAATGAACCTTGGAATTTATTCAGTTACCACCAAATATTTCTAATTGTGTTCGTCTTACAAAGCCGTATATCGAAAATGTTAAACAAAAGTTACAAGGTCTACCTGCCTTTCATATCGGTGCGTCAATTTTCCTATGCAATTTACAGATTTTTCCATCTATGCCAAGTTTGAAAATTTGTGCAGGTAACTTAAACCTTTTGTCACAACATTCATATGAAGATTGAGATTGGTTTGAGGCTAAGTTGGTGGATACAGCTAACCAGTTCTCAAACGACCATCTGAAACAGAGAAGTATTTCTACTCCTCAGCATTCCATAGTCTTGAAAGAGCTTCAGAAAAACTTTAGTGTAACCCTACAAATGCTCTAAAGTTTTCATCATGGACATAAGTGATTATAAACCTAAAATGCTATCTACCTTGATGATGAGAGTGAATTCAGTCGGGATTGCTCTTCAAAAGATATTCAATAATTGTAAGACACAGTGATGGCTAATTTAGTGGAAATTCTCGTCTTAAGTGTTATTAACAAAGACACAGTTTACTTTTTATATCGATCAGGATGTAAATTCTCACATACGTATTGTTGACTCGAAATAAATAAACCCAGTAATCTTCTACGTCCTATAGTGTTAATATGTAGATAACCAACACAAATAATTTCTCGATGGTTAGTGGAATCATTACACTCATTTAAAAGATAACTCTGTAAGTATACACTGAGAGGTAAATTTGAATTGATTAATTAACACTGATGGCGTCAATATAAAAAAAAATAAAACTATGTATTCTTTCCATATGAACTGTTTATTTACTGATGTACCCTTACTCAAAACAGTTGACATTTTATATGATTACATTTCTACACTTAATTTCCTATTCCGGTTTCCTCTATCTTATTTAAGGAGTTGTTGCTTCTGTGTACTAGTAATGTAAGGTTCGCATTTAAAGTAGATTGTTTCCGTCAAATTGGTGATGTTGCCATAGGAAACCCGTTGGGGCCCCATTTAGCAGATATCTATTTATCGTGCATTAGGAGTTTATCAGAATATTCAGCTGAAAATCTACCACTATACAGAGGATACACCAATGACATTTCAGTCGTAAGTGATAATCCTTATTCTGCCACTTCAGTTTCTGATCGAATGAATAAAGTGAAAGTGAGTATATCACTTACATCTATAGAAGAGAAAGATAGCTATTTATCTTTCCCAGATGTATTGCTTAGTCGATAGCCTGATGAATAACTGTAACGATCTACTTATAGGAAACCTACCTTAATTACCATAGTTTCTCTCCTGTTTGGTATAAAAGAGCTTTTAGTGACGTGCCTCTTTAGTTTGATTCAGCAAATTTGCACAGAAGATACACTTGAAGATGATGAAAGAAAGCTGATAGAAACTCTGGCTCATAAGAATACGAGGCCCATGCTTGTTCATATCTACCTTGGAGATATCTTTCAATATGTACAGTAGAAATTACAATATCTTCATTTCAGTTGTCTGGTAAAATATTCCATGATTCTTCCTCAGTCGATCTAAACTTGTTGCTAATGTCATAGTATTAAATCTTTGGATAATGTAGTGTTAACTGAAAGGTTAATGTTACATATCTCAACATGATACGTTAATAATTTTCAAAGAGCTAAACATTAATTAGTAAGTTGAATATTTCGTAGGCAAATCTTATGAAGTCAGTTTAGACATTGTCTGCCTTGCGGCGTTTTTGAAATAGTAAGTCAGCTCATCGTTATTATTATTCCCTTGGGTTACTAGTGAAATATAGGACTTCAAGAGAACATAGCCATCTTATTCTATTCTTTGCAGTCCTCTTTATTTGCACATGGGATTTCCCGTGTATCAGCAGAAGATAGGAGATATTTATTAAGCAAAACCGAATAATATTTATACGATATTAACCATATTAACAGTTGACTAGGTCACCGAGCAAGAAACTGCTATGAATGGTGGGTGATTGGCCCAAGGTAAAACAAGAGGATGGAAAGTTATCCAATGAGATTATTTCCAGATTACAGCTTAAACTGGATCCACATCTGAGGAATGAGCATTTCTATCCCTTCAGCCATCTACTTAAAACGTAGATTTCAATTTTTGACTGCTTCCTATCAGTCCGCATTTACATTGGACATGCCACACCCACAGGCTCCTATCTTCTACTCACATGGCATCTTGCGTGTAACACTCGGACGCCCAACTCATCGTTTCCCACTCAATGGCCTGCCAAGCGATGTCATTCCATCGTCTCCCTAGCGTGTGTCCAATCCGCCTCAACTTGCTTCGGCATATCTTCTGAGCGATATCTTCTTGACTGGTTCGTTAACACAGTTTCTTGTTGCTATTTCTTTCTGACCATCTGATGGTGAGTATGGGGAGAAGGCAGCTGTTGATGAAAGTCTGAAACCTGTTAGGAATGCTTTACGTGACGCACTCACCAAGTCTATCAACCTCATAGAAGTAGTGACTTAACATAGGTGTTGAAAATCCTAATCTTATTCTATATGCTGAGTTAGTGAAGAGGATTTCGGCACCGATTTTAGACTGAAGAGTGTCTGTCTTACCTTTTCGATTCTGGTTTGACACCTTCATCCAGGAAGCGTGCTTGTAGTTGAGACGAATCTGTCTAGATAAGAGAGGGAGGTGACCTCTTTCACATTTATTCCGTTGATCATGGTCAGTGCTTGTTGGTTGTCTACATCACGTGCATCTTCTTTATGCTCAGTGGAATTCCGGCCTTTGCTGATTCTTCTGACAACTTCTTGTTTTTTGCCCATAAATCTTCGAGTTTGTGTGAGACCAGATATAAATCGTTACCAAGTCAAAATCTTCCAGTGTCTCCTTTTTGATCCAACATGTGCTCGCCTTCTCGTGCCCCGGTCACTTTCGTGACCCAGATGGCCACCAATGTTAGTAGGCAGTTTTGTCTTACTCCTGTATTCGTTTCGAAGGCATCAGTGAGTTTTCCGTTGTGGATCAACTGAAACGTCCCACTTTCATATAACTGTTAATGACGCAAATAGAGGTTAGTGGCAGTGTACTCCATAGTGTTGCAGCAGTTTCCAAATTACTTCTCGGTCAACACTGTCTGTCGAGGGCCTTTTCGAAGTCGATGAAATTGAGGTGGAGGTTTGACTTCCATTCTATACTCAGTTCAATGATTATTCGTAGCCCGACAATTTGATCCGCATATGATTTGCCTCCCCTGAATCCTGCTTGCTGTCGTGAGAACATCTGCCGCAGCCTCTGGGTCCATATTCTGTGCTCCTGGGGTAATTCTGTCCTGTTCTGCTGTCTTTCCGGCTTCCAGTAGCTTTAGGACATTCGAAACTCCTTCTTTTATTGGAGGGCTGGTGTTCACCAGCAGGCCTATAGTTGATGCTGTTGTTCCCAGATGGGTTGCACAGACGGTGGTCGATTCAAGATCCTTTAAAGCAGTCATCTCATTGTTTTCGTTGTTTGCCGTCTTTATTAATTATTTTCCCCCTGACCACCTTTTATTAGTTTCGTCATATGGGTTGATCTCTTCCTGGATATAGAACTGGTTATCTGATATAATGTCCTGAGGTCTCTTCTACCTGTGGCCTGCCTGTTCGGCTTCAGTTGACAATGTGTCAGAATTTTATTTCGTCTTTCCTAGCAGTCTTCTCCGCGCGCGCTTTTCGACTATTACGCTACATTTTGGTCATAAATAAAATATCTTATTACTCTAAAATTTTATGCAAAGTGTTTGCGGAAATTATCACAATTATTAACCTTTCGAACACTGAATCCAAAAAATACAATCTTATTGACAGATAATACACATAACTCACTGTTTGGATTTGTGGAATTTTTAAACATAAACACATCTATAATTGTATATATTGTTGGATTTATATGTTCAAGTTGCTCCAAGTCAGTGAGTTTATGGTTAAGATATCATTTTAGTTACATATACTGAACTATATTGCATGTTGTCTTATTGTATAGTTGTCGTCGCTTTTTGCCCTTTTTTTTGTGAACTGTTTCCTTTGTTGATGTTGTTCTCATTGTTTGTCCGTTATTTTCTGATTTTGAGGGGAGCAACCCAAAAAGTTGCTTCTCTCTAAACTTTTACTTAATGTAATCATTCTTTTCTCAGGCGTGAGGCTAGCAACCCCACCCTGTAAACAAAAATTGCTACAGAACTTCAGTATGTGAACCTCCTTGCACCAAAAGAAAAAGTCTGTGTAGGAACATGGAACGTCCGAACTATGTACGAGACTGGAAAAGCTGCCCAGATCGCCAACGAGATGAAAAGATACGGAATACAAGTGCTGGGAATATGTGAGAGCAGATGGAATGGGAGTGGACTCACCAAATTGTCAACAGGTGAGTCAGTGATCTACTCCGGTCACCCAGAAGATAACCACACGCACACCGAGGGCGTGGCTATCATGATGTCACCAACGGCAACGAAAGCCCTGATACAATGGGAGG